ACCAAGTATAAAAAATGCAAGTAAATAATTCGGAATTATTCAATCTTCCAATCTTTTTCTTATAGATGTAGCCTCAGATCAGCTGTTGGCTCCAGCGTATCACGTGAGGGTTATCGCAATGTCTTTCTGGCCGAACAAATAAAAGAGACGAATTCAAGCAAAGAACGCGCAAAAAAAGGAACATAAGATACCCAATAATACCTAAATACTTAATGAGCGTTGACTGCATATAAACGCGCTTCATTGACCTGCCCGCCGACTCCACCGAACCTCCCACCAAGCCCCGCGCTCTCATTCGTTCATTCAGCGTGGGAAATTTAATTGCCCGCATTTCGCACAACCACCCCTCCTTATACCTCTCCTCTCTCAAGATACTTATCCGGCGATTCGTGGCGCGATCGGCGCCTTGGAGATTTACTCCTCAATATCGTGCATTCTCAAGGATGGCTCAAAACTCTGCCTCCCAAAACCCCAGTGAGTTTCATGACTCATTCTCAGATGTTGCAGAAGCTTATAGTGAATAGCGGGTGAGCCTGCGGCTCCCGTGACCAGCGCACCTCCCCAGATCGCCGATACCACCGCAAAGGATCCGCAGGGTCAGCAGGACGGATCGGCTGGAGCTCCCAAGGTGAAGACCGAGAAGGAGTGTATGTGGCCACCAAAATCTATACATGGACCTTTCTCAGATGTTGTTGTTATATCATGAGTATTTGCTGATACTTTTGCTGATTTCTAGTGGAGAGGGAGCGCAAGAAGGCTGAAAAGAACAAGAAGTTCGAAGAGAAGCAGGCGGCCAAGGCCAAGGCTGCCGCCAGCAAGGCCGCAGCTCCCAAGGTCGAGAAGAAGGCGAAACCCGAGAAGGACAAGACCGCCGATGCCTACGATCCCGTTGCCATCGAGACTGGTCGTCTCGAATGGTGGGAGGAGCGTGATCTCTTCAAGCCCGAGTTCGGACCTGATGGCAAGGTCAAGCCGGAAGGCTCCTTCGTCATCCCCATTCCCCCTCCAAATGTTACCGGTTCTCTTCACATGGGCCACGCCCTCACCAACGCCCTCCAGGATACCATGATTCGGTGGCAAAGAATGAAGGGCAAGACTACCCTGTGGCTTCCTGGAATGGACCACGCCGGTATCTCGACCCAGAGTGTCGTCGAGAAGATGTTGTGGAAGAAGGAGAAGAAGTCTCGCCACGACATTGGCCGAGAAGCCATGGTCAACTTGATCTGGGATTGGAAGGATGAATACCATAAGAACATCAAGAACGCCCTGCGCAGACTTGGTGGTTCGTTCGACTGGAGCCGTGAGGCCTTCACCATGGACCCCAACCTGTCAGCCGCTGTGACCGAGACCTTCGTTCGCCTCCACGAGGAGGGTATCATCTACCGTGCCAACCGCCTGGTCAACTGGTGTGTGGCTCTGAACACCTCTTTGTCCAACCTGGAGGTCGAGAACAAGGAGATCGAGGGCCGCACTCTTCTCGATGTGCCTGGCTACGACAAGAAGGTCGAGTTCGGTGTCCTGACTCACTTCTGCTATGAGATTGATGGAACCACCGAGCGCATCGAAATTGCTACCACTCGTCCCGAGACCATGGTTGGTGATACTGGTATTGCCGTTCACCCCGACGACAAGCGCTACCAGCACCTGATCGGCAAGAGCGCTCGCCATCCGTTCTTGGACCGTCTGCTCCCTATCGTCGCTGACCCGGAAGTCGAGCCCGAGTTCGGTACTGGTGCCGTCAAGATCACTCCTGCCCACGACTTTAACGATTTCAACCGTGGAAAGGCTCACAACCTGGAGTTCATCTCTGTCATGAACGACGATGGTACCTTCAACAAGCACGCTGGTCCCTTCGCTGGCATGAAGCGCTTCGATGCCCGTTACAAGGTCATCGAGGACCTTAAGGAGAAGGGTCTGTACGTGAAGTGGGAGCACAACCCCATGAAGGTGCCTCGTTGCGCCAAGTCCAACGATGTCATTGAGCCCATCATGAAGCCACAATGGTGGATGAAGATGGAAAGCCTGGTTCAGCCTGCCATTGATGCCGTTGAGAAGGGCGATATCATTATCCGTCCCGAGTCCGCCGAGAAGAGCTACTTCCGCTGGATGCACAACCTGAATGATTGGTGTCTTTCCCGTCAGCTCTGGTGGGGACACCAGGCTCCTGCTTACTTCGTCAAGATCGAAGGCGAGGATGGCGATGACAGTGACGGTAACCTCTGGGTCACTGGCCGCACCGAGGAAGATGCTCGCAAGAAGGCCGAGGAGAAGTTCCCCGGCAAGAAGTTCTCTCTGGTCCGTGATCCCGATGTTCTCGACACTTGGTTCTCTTCTGGCCTGTGGCCCTTCTCTACTCTGGGCTGGCCCCGCAAGACCCACGACTTCGAGAGCCTGTACCCCACCTCCGTTCTGGAGACCGGTTGGGATATTCTCTTCTTCTGGGTTGCCCGTATGATCATGCTTGGTCTCAAGATGACTGGCCAGGTTCCTTTCCGCGAGGTCTACTGCCACTCACTCATCAGAGATTCTGATGGCCGCAAGATGTCCAAGTCTCTCGGCAACGTTATCGATCCTATTGATGTCATGGAAGGTATTCAGCTGCAGACTCTTCACGACAAGCTGCAGTTGGGCAACATCGCCGATAAGGAGATTGCCGCTGCTACCAGATACCAGAAGAAGGCCTTCCCCAAGGGTATTCCCGAGTGTGGTGCTGACGCTCTCCGCTTCGCCCTTGTCTCTTACACCACGGGTGGTAGGTTATATCTCATTTTCCCATTTGATTCTATCTGCTAATGATGATTTGCAGGAGGTGATATTGCTTTCGATATCCAGGTCATTCACGGCTACCGTAAGTTCTGTAACAAGATTTACCAGGCCACCAAGTTCGTCCTCGGTAAGCTGGGCGATGACTTCAAGCCCCAGGCTGGTGTTAAGAAGACTGGCAATGAATCTCTTTCCGAGCGCTGGATTCTGCACAAGTTCAACACCGCCGCTAAGGAGATGAACGAGGTTCTTGAGCAGCGTGATTTCTCCAACTCCGCCCAGATCTCCTACCAATACTGGTACTCCCAGCTGTGCGATGTGTTCCTCGAGAACTCCAAGTACCTTCTGGCGGATGATGCCTCGGCCGAGACCAAGGAGTCCGCCAAGCAGACCCTCTACACAGCCCTTGAGGGTGCCCTGACCCTGATCCACCCCATCATGCCGTTCGTCACCGAGCACCTGTGGCAACGTCTCCCCCGCCGCGCGGGAGACGAGACCATCTCGATCATGAAGGCCAAGTACCCCGAGTACCTCGCCGAGTTCGACGACCCCACCGCCGCCAAGGCTTACGAGCTCATCCTCAACACCTCCAAGGCCATCCGCTCGATCCTGTCCCAGTACGATGTCAAGACCCAGGGCGACATAATCATCCAGACCTACGACGCTACTAGCCAAAAGACCGTCTCCGAGGAGATGACCACGATCAAGTCTCTGGGTGGTAAGACCCTCGGCGAGCTGTCCCACCTCGGCCCGGAGAACAAGACCCCTCCCTCTGGCTGCGTGGTGGCTGCTGTTGGATCCGAGGCTGCTGTCTACCTCCGCGTCTCCAAAGAAGTTGCCCTGGAGCAGGAGGAGAAGGCCAAGACTAGCCTTGACAGGGCTCGTGAGACTGTTCGCAGGTCTCAGGGTATCATCAACGGCCCTGGCTGGAAGGAGAAGGTCAAGGCTGAGGTCCGTGAGCAGGAGGAGAAGCGTCTGCGTGATGCTGAGGGTGAGGCTGCCCGTCTCGAGGAGCAGGTTAAGGAGTTTGAGAAGCTGCGTTTGGAGTAAATTGTCCATTGGATAGATCTAAACAAAAATATATCAATTGATTCCCTTCTGTCAACCTGTCAATGGATATATATTTTTCCCAAAACCTACATCTATGTGGCAATATACATTAGACGGCATAACAGAGTTAATATATACAAGAGAACACATCCCATTGTTTTCTGGGGAACAAACATGCTCGAATCTGCTGGTAGTTTATCTGTAGTTGAAACCAAAAAAAGAGAAGGAAAAAAAACAAGCATTTCCACGTTTGATACGAAGCCAACAAAAGGAAGTCTCTGCTAACATAGTAGAACTACAAAAAAAAATAGTTTCCCTGGGAATCGAACCCAGAACCTTTCCGGAACATCAGCTAATCGCATTTGTTAACGGAAAATCATAACCGCTAGACCAGGAAACTGCTCGACCACTTGGGCCAATTGATGGGAGAAAGAGGCGCTTTTGAAATTATGAGGTTGTTGGTTTATCGGATGCAATTCTGCTCAAAGTGCCAATCATAATATGGCTGTCCATCAGCTGTTGTCCAATCTTATATTCCCCACTTTAATGCATGCCATATGCCAGCAATGGGCGGTCGAACCCCGAAACTGGAAAAGCTGCATTGAAAAATTGATGATATTCACCCGGGTGATCTGGGTTGGGAAGACTGGGAAGGTTGTTGGGTATCAACAAGGATATGGGTGCGTTGGACTAATCAGACAAAACATCCACCACTCGGGCACTAGGCAATTGAAAAATATACATGCATGAACCGGCCATCATGATAAAGATCGAGGCTCTCGGGCCGCAATCTCTCCAATCTCTCCCACACTTCAAGGCTGACGTGCAGACAACTGACTGGCGTGGTTGTATTCCCGGGATGTATAGGGGCATGTCAACGAATAGCTTCATCACTTCTTCACCGACTCACTCGTCCACCCTTGTTCTTCCACACACCATTGACGAGCGGAAATTCAACCTGAAAAGTTTCATCTCTATACCGACTTTTCTTCAGAATGGGCAGCAACAGAGCCATTGTGCTGGTGGCTATGTTGATACCATGGAAGAACTTGTCTATAAATACTAGGCTCATTCTCAGGTATCTCAGGACTGTCATCAGAGACTGGAAGCTCCATCTATATTCGAATTAGCTAAATTATCTTCCTCTTGTTTGAACCTCTCCCCAAAGAAAAGGAAGTCCAAACGCAATGGCTCACAAAACAACATCCACAGTGCCGGAAACCGAGTCAGTGGTCTCCGTGTTTGTGCAACAATATGTGACGGAAGACATTGTCCATTATCAGAAGGCCCTCAGTGCAGTCATGGAAATATGCGGCCAGGTCCTTTCTGACCATGGAATATCCCATGCCATAGGGTCCCGGCTCAAGAAACCAGCCAGTCTTGAAAACAAGCTTGCAGACCGTGAACGCAAGCGAGGATTTCCCTACCAAGCCATGGAAGAAATCAACAACGAGATCGTTGATCTTGCTGGAGTGCGCATCTTGGTGCACATCCCGTCAAACCGAACAAAAGTCAGCGAGCTTTTGCGCGACGCCTTTGTGGTTAAGAAGATGGTTAACCACCCGAAACAAGACGAGGTCAACGGAGCCCAGCAGGAGCATCAAGGTTATGTCGCGACCCATCTCCATGTCTCACTGAAAGAGGAGGGCCTTCGTGATCGAGGGTTACAACCCAGTCATGCGAAGCCGGTCGAAATCCAAGTCATAAGCACGGAACTGTGTGGATGGGCGAACCTAGAGCATGACATAATATACAAGCCCAAGGGCAAACCACCGCTTGCCCAGGTCCAACACCTAGAAACAATGCGGATGATTGCGAACTTGAACGAGAACATGCACAGGCAAATAGAAGAACAGCAAACCCAAAGAGCAGCGAAGGAGAACCGATATCTTCGATCTGTGGATGACGTCGGCTGGGTTCTTCATAAGTGGCTCGAGGAGCACGATCGGGCGTGGTTTCATGGTCGAGAAGCCGGGTCATGCACATCGCTTTTCATGTTCTTGAAATCGCACAACATAAACACTCGCGGAGAGTTGCGGCAAGTGCTTGAAGCGAGCTTTGGGTGTGATTCTGAGGTCGTGTACTTGAGACTTGCAAGTGAATATCCGGCTGGCAGCTTGACTCTCGTTGTTTTCATCATGGACCGTCTGCTATTGACGAATGGTGGAAGTGGCGGTGTGGATTTTCTTACTAGCGACGATCATCAGGTTCATATTTACAAAATGCACGCGATGATGAGCACGTTCGTTTGGCTGGATAGGCTCTTCGCCCCAGCTATTACGTGGCAACAAATATTCGCGGATCAGAATCAGGAATCTCTGCGAGAGGGTCTTTTTTTCCTCAACAGCGTTCGACAGGGCTTTTTCTTCGATGGGAGTCTGCTTGGGCAGAATGATATTGCTATTACTGATCGACTTTGGGACTGGTTTGAGCGTCAAGGAGACCGTCAGATTAGGTTGACCTTTTCCATTTCGAAAAATGGGACGTTTAAAGACAGAAAGGAAGCGCGGAAGGTTATTCAGCTGCTGATTGCTGGGCTAAGTCACCGGAATTGAGTAGGTAGGTACCTAGGTAGCCCTGGAGATAGATAGACTGTCGAGGAGGAAATTTAGGAATAAGAGTTTTGCTTTTTTCTTTTTTCGCAAGGGTCGAGTCTTAATAATACTTCTCAAGGCCAAATTCAAAATTCATTTGCTATAACAAAATTTTTAACACACCTACAACATAGTAATACCTAGGTAACCCCTTCAGAACTTGCCTGGGCGGTTTTTACTGTACAGCATTCACAGCGCAATGAACTGGCAGCTCTCACTATCTCCGGTAGCTGTGGAAATTGAGATCAACAACCGAGACTGGGTGGAAATTGGATCATTCGAGAGAATCACGTCTGATTGGCGTGGGCAACTGAAGGAAAATTGATACATCAATCACAATTCATCACAGCGCCACATTTCCCATAATCAGCGTTCGAGTCATCCAAAATGACAACCAATCGCCTGAAAGCATTTTCTCAAACCCCATACAGGGGGTGAAAATGCGGCCGTGAAGAGCATGAAGCGTTGATAGTGATCGATATGTTGGCGCTCATCTCATTAGCAATTACTCCGTAGCCATTGGGGAGGTCCTAGCCTTGTATTAGAAAAAAATATCATAAGTCGTAGTCATAGAAATTTGGAGGGTTCTTTCCTTAGGACAATGAGTTAGTTAGGTTCGAGGGCTATAGAGAAGATACCAGCCTCCATACCCTTGTCGAATTAGCAAGCGCTCCACAATAGGCGCCAATATTGATGGCAACAGACGCCGCGTATCTTGGGCGAAAATCTGTTGAGCCCTCAGAGACTCACAAATGTGGTTAGGACATTTCTAAGCCCACAAACCTCTGACTTCTTTTTCTTTCATCAAGGCAAAGAGAGCACTTGAGCCTGCAAAAACCCATACTTGAGACCAGTGGTGGAAACAATGTCTTTTTCCGGAACAATGCAAGGTACTGAGACCCTGTATGCATTGGAAATTTGGTAGTATCCTGCTGACTTGAGCTTTGTAAAAAGGAAGCGATCCCACAGCCAAGAAATGGTTCACAATCCATGGTGTTTTAGGAGGAGATGACCTAGGCCAATTTGTTTCCCCTTCGCAAGTGACAACTTGGAGAACAATGAGTACTTTCGCGGAAGGGGAAGGATTCTTCGGCTTTCCCAATACAAGTCGTGTTCTGCAGTGCTGGCTGTATTATGGAGCTAGTGCCAATGGATGGGGAAGTGGCGTTGACCATGTCCTTTGGGAACGTTTCGCAGCAGAATTGCCGCCGGGAAACATAAGTAGTGAGTCTGTCGAGCCATGCATGAGATATGAAAGGATGATCAGCCCAGTTGTCCATGTGGAAATGCGACTAACCGGCGCTAGTTTCCACGAATTCGTCCCGAGGGCCGCCGGTTGTCGTCGGAGCAAGCCCTTAGGCCTTGCCAACACGAATCCCCAATAGCAACTCGCTGATGCGACTTGGACATGACTTCGACTTGATTCTGCTAGTTATCAAACCTGGACCATTACCCAACAATCACGATGGAACATGTGTCCACAGAAGCGGTGTGCCCAAAGCAAACACCTAGGGCAGTGAGACAGTGAGATATAGGTGTGCGCCTTACCGACTTGAAGTACTTCATGCTGCGTGCTGGCATGTGCTGTATTGTCAATTTCGAAGGAAAAACGAGTTTTAGGGAAGTTAGGAAAAAGAGAAGTCGGAAAGAAAAGGTGCAGGGTTTAAGTGACGAGTATTTTAACCACCTAATCGGGGCTACCTACCTAGGTAGGTACGTTACATGCATGTGGCGGAACCCGGGTAGGGAGCGTGTTTGGGCGCGTTTTCCGCCAAAATATTTGAATAATGTCTAATATGTCATCTGCTGGCTGAATTTGTGTATGATCATTGCCTACATAGGATTCAAACGAGAAAGGACCATCATTGAGTCATGGCAAATTGCTACCTATAGAGGTATCTCAGATATCTATTAAAAGACTAACTATATTACCGGCTTAGATTATTTCCTTAACTCGATACTATCACATACTTTGTATTGGAGTCCGCCAATAGGGGGTAATAGTGAGTTTTCCATCACTCGGTCATAGTCAGCACTAAGAAGCTGCCCATTCATATCAAGGCTGGGCATTTTTTTTCCACAGACGCCCAATCACGCAGTGTACATACGTTCGAATACGTACAGGCTTTGATTAGTGGAATTGCTGTATGGTAGTAGCAAGACTTATGAAGTACCTATATACATAGATTCGTCATAAATGTATCTCCTTTGTATCTGATACTCCGAAATTAGGTAGTCTAAATCGCGAAGACAGATTATCTGCCTAGATTCCTTGTTTATCAGGGTTTCACCAGCTATTTAACTAGCTAGTTAACTAGCGTCTGTAGAGAATATGGATCCTTCTTCTCTCCTCTCTTGTCATAGACCATCATATATCATATCGCATACTATACACCGAAAAGGCACTTTGCAGGAATTGTGTTTCTCACCATCGACAATTATCCTTCTAGCTACAATATCAAGGCATCAAAAAAGGCATCCAAACAGACACCGCCGTCCATTGGCAAGCTATAACCCGTCGTATATATATAGGGAGAAGCAAACAGATGTCTATATGTACCCGTAGATATTAGACAAGCCTATGACTCTGCCGCGCATAGAAATTTGCGCGAGGGAGAAAGAGCAAACAGCCAATAGAAGCCTAAAAAAAGCAAGGTCTCAACGATAAGCGCCATTTACTTTGCGTTCAACTTCTTCCCTTTTCCTTCTATACTGCAATCTCTTGTACCGCTACCTGGTCTATTCCACCATTAAGTGTCACATCCACTTAAATTTGCCGCGTTATGCTCACCGAGTCACCTTGGCAGCATAATGGCAATTCAGATTGCGAATCTCCTGAAAGTTGATGACGCCCCCTTGGCTCCTTGTGTTTCTGTGTGCTACTTCTGGCGGAAGTTTTGAGCCCCTCATCTATTCTAAGCTGGTTGTTTACAGTGATGAAGACCACAAAGTAGAAGGACAATCAGGGATCTCTTTCGCGACATTCCAGGAACTCACATCCGGTTATCGCGCTACACGGCGATCCTGGATTCGAGAGTTGGAGTACAATATTCTGACCCCATTCGACCTTTTAGACTGGAACACACGCAAACAATTGGCCCACCTCAAAAGGAATGACGAAGAGGACTACAGCACCCAGAATCCTATTTGGAATGCCAACGATGTAGCCTTTCAGACAGCCATGCTAGCCTTTCCAAAACACTTACCTCGTGGGACCAGAATGGCAGTCTCGCGTTACGACTGGGGCTTGAAGGATGTCGTCGAGGCGAGATGGCGGCACCGGAACCGAATACTTGGTATGAAGGATTTGCCGGAAATTATGTTCACAGTTACAAAGATGGACACACAATGTTGGTTCCCCCATACCGGGCGCGATTTGATAATATTGTGACAAACTTACCCGATGTTTTGTGCGTTAATTAAATCTCTTTCCTGAACGATTCGGGTCAGCATCATCAAATCTGGACCGGAGCAGTGCAAACAATCGTCGAACACTGCCCAAATATTACTGAATTGAAGCTGGATTTGAACAAACGGGCTCGTCCTGACTTCGTGGAGTATATGCAAGAGCGTCGTGGGGATGAACCGGGTCCCGTTCCTCCTTATAATTGACATGTTTCTAATACTAGCTATATAGCGATGTCTTCGCTAATCAGCATTATTCCAAGGAGCCTACGGTCATTCACCTACATAGGTGAATGTGAAAGGCCATGGACAGATTTGCTGCCTGCCCCGAATGTCATCCCTTCAGGCATTGACAGCTTGGCAATCAGTTTGAGAGATCGCAGCACCTGTCTCCGGGAACTCAGGCTGGAAAATATTACCATTCCACTTGACTTCATGTGGCCTTTGGAAGAAGGTGGCCAGCCAATATCCGATAGAGGCTCCTCGTGGTGGCCCTTTCTGGAAATATGGGAGGTTTACTTTATAACCCCTTGGCTTCCTTCGGATATGATTACTCCAATTTGCAAGAAACTAGAATTTAACATGTGGATTGCCACTGAGAGTAATCTGAATGAATAGGAAAATGGATTTTCCTTCCAGACGCCGAAGAGCAGGCCAACATCGACTACATTAACGAGACTGACGGCTGGGATGACGAGATATGCGACGATGAAACCAACGCCGAACGACCATTGACGGACATAGATCAGTTTCACCGGGTTTTCAGACCACTAGGTTATGCCTCGTTTGAAACGCATGGAATTCGACATGGTATTCAATATTGAGTTGTCTTATGCGTTCAGCCTTTCCTTTTTCAACAACACCGATAATATTACCTTGACATGGGATTGTGATTTTAGCTATCGGCCCGATAGCCGGGTTGCAAGAGCCTGGGACTTTTGCTTGGATGATGTGTTGATTGACTCCCCTAGAGAAGGGATATGTTCTGTGACGCTGCAAACGTGGCCTCCTGGTGGGCCTATCTAACTTGAGGTCCTGGGTCAATGGGTATCAGAATTCAGTAGAGCCGGAAAAGATATTAAATTAAGATTTTCCCTTGACAGATTCGGTAAAGATTAAGCTGGTTTCGTCGAGTGAAGGCCATTGACAGAACTTCCTGCTGAAATCGATTCCGCTCGCGGACGCATTGCAGCCGTCGTTGTCTTCTTGTTCTTGCTGTATTATTGGCAGCACGTTCGCAAAACATACTTGAAAACACAATGGATTGCAATTTAAATGGCATCTCTTATTGTACATCTATGGAGGCGTACTGTATGAAAAAGGCAAATATTCTCCGCTTGAAGTGGAGCCAAAAGAATTGTTATAAAGAGTGATGGTGAAGTTGATTGCGCTAGTGGCTGTACTTCTCACATGAACTAGGAAGATAAGAAGAAGCAGAAGACATACAGTTGGTTTTCTGCCATCCTACTTGACGCGAAAATCGCCATATTTGGAGACGGAGGCTAGACAGTCTTCGTTCACTAACATAAATAGCCCGTCCACCAACTATGTGAACATATGAATGCAAAGTCATCTAGTTCCGGTAAAAGCAACGCAGTCTATCTGTTCTTATATGTCGAGAGGGTCGAGAGTGCTTTGCCGCTCGAATTTCCCAAAAATCAACCCTTGTCAAGCTAAGCGGGTCAATATAGCATTTCAACATATCCACTCGCATGTAGCTCGTCAAGTTTCGGCATCTTCCTCAGAACCCTGCGGTATTCCTTTCATCGGGTGGGAATGGCGGCTTCTAACCTGCTCTTTGTGAGTCCATAGATACACGCTGACTGTAATGACTGCCAAGATGATTGTAGCAACAACATAGATCCAGAATTGCTTAGAAATTCTGAATTCCTCGGTTGCCCCATCGTCAAACTTGAACAAGTTCATTCCGAAAATAGACTACTAAGTGGTGAGAACAAATTTCATTTTGGAGTCTCAGGATACTTCTTACCGACACAAGGCTTGCAGGTAAGTATATAAGCGTCAATATAGTGACCACCTTGACCGTTGCATTGTCGTCGAAGCTCTTAGTTCCAAGTTCGAGCAGCTGTTGATTGGCGCCGAGCATGCGGTTGTTTAATTCAACCATTCGGTTGTTGAGGTCGAGCATCTGGTTTGTCATCCTGAAATCTAACCCTAATGTAGTCTGGACGTCTGTTAGAGAAGGGCGGTGTAGCTATGTTATGTAAGTTGTTGCTTACCATGTTTAAAATGTCCTTGACCTTCTCCTTTAGGACTTCTACCCCAACAACAAACCCCTCAAGACGAGCTTTGTGGTATGCCACACACGTGACAAGCTTTTGAAAGCCATTGTCCGCGCTGTTATACTGCGAGTCCAGAACACTGCTCAAATGACCTAGTTTTGTGAGAGTTTCCAATATGACCCTCAATCTGTATGAAGTGGGTAAGAGAAGGTCGCGTGTATTGTGAATTGCCGTCAAGTTGCTGTCACCTCCGGCGGTCAAAACGTGGTCGATGTTTCTCAGGATAAAGCCCAGAGAACTATCACTCTAAAATGAAAGTCAGACAAGCCGAGGAGCAAATATTAGCAGATACTGACATGTCTATCCACGTCATAACCTAGACGGTTAATGTAGGAACGCCAATTATGCAGACAACAAGAGAACACAGAAGAATGAAGCGTAAGCCACGTATAATCTGAGCGTAGCCCCTGGGACAGCGAGGCATACTGCTCAATTTTTTTCTGCATGGGTGTACTACGGCCGACATGAAAGAAGATCCAGAGATTTTGAAGATCATTAGGATCATGGTGGTGCAAAACACCCATTTGGCGCATAGTCCAATCCTCAACTCCCACCGGAGTTGGAAATGTGAGTCTGTAAGAAATATCTAAAGTATTGCTTAGGTCCTGTGACTATATGGAGAAGATCTGGGAATAGCCTACCTTGAATCCCATTCTCACCACTTTGTACTTTCATTGCGCCTTCACCTACACCTGCAGTCATGGGTTTGTCTCCGAATGTCGAAGTCAAGTCCCATAATTCATCGCCAATCTTATAGGTGTCTTTGAGCACCTGGAGGGCATCCTTTGAGATTTGAAGTGGCTTTATTGATGACTTGGAGTGTATGGAGCTGGATTCCATAGAAATCAGAGAGAGCCAAGCTGGAAGAATCTATAAATAATGTGAGAAGCTTACATGATGCGCAATGTTGGAAGTGGCGTTGTTGAAATATGCTCTTGGAAGAAGCCGTTGTCGTTGAAAACAGTAGCATTGAGTTTATCTGGTGTATCAACTATAACGTATAAAGGTCAGTACCCGTTCAGTTTGTCCAAATAGTGCCAAACTGACCATTCTGGTAAATAGAAATGTTGGCCGGATCATCAGGAAGACAAAATGTAGGGTAGGTTAAATTGGTAGCCATCTTTTGATGTGAGTACTGCAAAGAATTATCCCTTCGATTTAAGTAGACTTTGATAGAGTTGAAGAATTGTATGCAAGGTCAAAGACTTAAATATGAGTCCCGAGCCGCCAAACAAAGGCTTAGAAGGGAAAAGAAGTAAAAAAAAAGGCGCCTTGCCCTGTCAAGCTAAGCATCGGGCAACACAGAGGCGATTCGCGCCCGACTCATGGCAAGCTCATATCCCTGAAATACAGATTGATAGAAAGCCTGAGTGCATTGGTAATCGAGAGGCTATGGATGAGATCTAAATTGCATGTATATTCTTTCCTATCGACGTTGAAAATGGGAGGAGGGCGGAGGGTAGGGCACAGCCCCTTGAATCTTCTTGGGCCAAATTTACGATAACAGCTAAGCCCCAAGGCAGATTGGCATGTTTCCAAAGAAAATAATTTGAATGAAAATCAGTTCGAGAAACCTAGCATGAACCTGCTTGTTCAGTCCCAGCTGACCCGTTCATCTTCGCAGAGGTCCCTGTTTAAGTCAAATATCAGCAACCATCTAGACTGAAATACTATAGGTCGTACACTATCTCATGCTAGATGTAGAGAAATCACTGTTAGCAAAAGGCAATCAACATTATCTTCGGGAGACTTACCTCTTTCACTTCTCTTTTTGCTTGGAAAGTAATACGATCACAAAAGTACTGCGAGATATAGTTGATTTAGTCTGTGAATTCACACTGAGTTTCGTGGATAGCATTATCCTCACCACAACTTCAATTTTGCGCCCGAATATCTCGTAAAGCCTATTCTCGAGCTTTGAACGGCTAATATAACCGCTTATTCCTTCTCTGAGTGTGGTCGAAACTAACTCAGTTTGTGGATAGCTTGAAGACATTTTGAGGCTGTGTTGGGAATTCGAGGCCAAGTCCGTACATAGTGTGTGTTAGGACCCAGGACAAGTGTAAGATTTAATAGGATTGCTATCAACAGTAAGGGCGATCACTTTGACAACAGCAAATTCGTTTCCCGAAGAGCCCCTCCGTATATCCCTAAGATGATGCCAAGAATTTACGCATGGCTTTAATCTAAATGATGGATGTAATTAGACGACTAGGGGTTATTTCAATCAAGACCGGCTGTGGGATGCCCAAACTCAGCCAATTATTATTTTCCCAGTCTCTCATGCACGAGCTCTGCCATCTCGTGATGCATGTTTTCTTCCTACGCGGCATACGCCGATAGGTGCATGTTGTCTTTGTTAATCTCACCCGATGCTCGTGAGGGGTAAACAAAAGCAAACACCCTTCGGGGATCTATTCACATATGGTATGGTTCCTAGCGTCTAGCATTAACACGTGTGTCATACTTCGGCTTGAAAATCTCCGTGGAGTAAGAGATCCGGAGTAAACACGGGGTAATTCTGGAGAAAGCTGCTATCGAGAACATCCCAGCCTTTTCTTCCGATATCCGTAATTCAGCTTCTATATTCTCCTTCCTAGTGCGCCCTTAGCGCAATTTGTCATAGAGGGGCTTTTGGTATCGCTTCTTTAAAATCAGATCAACTGCCAAATCCACTGTGCCTTGGCAAGACTATCAAAATGCATAGGAGAGTTGTGCCCAGGTGAAAATGGGGCTCTTACAAAACCCCTCATACCTACATTGACTCAGCAAGAGGTTTTCTCACCTGGGGGATTCGTGCTTCTACTTATCTGATCTCACTATTTCCTGCTCTGTTGTACAATTTTCTAAGCCTTTGAAAACGTGTTGATTGGCAAGGCTGCAAGATGAGTGAGGACGCGCAACCTTCGATTCCCCCAACGTAACACATGACCCCCCAAGCCCTGTTTATTAAAACGACGTCTAATGGTTTTGATCAATCAGAATAGACAATCCACTGGCCAACCAAGAAACCGCCCAATTAGAGGCCGAGGTCGAGGAATTCCATAAACGTGTTAGTCTCAACGGTGTCGTCGACTTGGAAATCCTCATCAGGGGCGCAAGGATAGCACAACAGCGATGGGGCGATTTCCCACCCGGGTTCACCCCTGCGGAGTTCGAGGCTATAAAAGCCGAGAATTCGAAAAGTTATTTGTCGTTCCTGCAAACTAGGGGTCTCCTCGTTACTGTTATGGCTACGGCTTGTGCGGCAATCACACAGTATGTCTATTCTGTTAGCCAATCTGGTGGAGAATCTTTTGACAATTGTGATAGGGGATGGCAGCAATCAACAATCAATGCCAGCGCTCTTTTAGAGTGGCAGGATGATCTTGGCCTCGATACTGACACTGATATGCTTCTGATTGGATTCATCAATGCAGCTCCTTGGCTTTCGGGAAGTCTGATGTATGTGTCTCCCAACAACTTACTCTTTATCCGACTCTAACTATCACTGCAGAGGGACATGGTTGAGTGATCCACTACAAGAAAAGTTTGGAAGACGCCCCGCGCTCTTCATTGCTGCTGTTTTCTGTGTCGCTCTTGTGATAGGTAAGTATTTATACCTAAACCTTCCTTGACCGCGACTGATTCTAATATTGAATATAGGAACAGCTCGTTGCAATTCATGGAAGACACTACTCGTCTGTCGAGTACTCCTTGGTGTGGGGGTATGTTAATTCTTTTTCTCTCGTTGCTGTCTGTCCCATCGCATTTCCCGTTCTTACTTTCTGACACGCGCCTTGTGGATAGATCGGATCAAAAGCTTCTATAGCCCCTATATTTGCCGCCGAAGCGGCACCTGATAGACATCGAGGGAAAGTCTTGATGATGTGGCAACTCTTCGATGCACTGTACGTCCGAACCCTCTTTTAGCTCTCTTTACAGGCCATTATCTAACTGTGTTCTAGTGGAATATTTCTCGGTTTCTTATGCGCCCTAATTGTAATGGACAATTGGAGAGTACTGCTCGCGACCGCGATAATTCCTGCCATCGTCCTATTATTTTTGGTTTTTATGTGTCCCGAGTCACCGCGATTCCTCATACAGAGGAATCGATATCCCGAGGCATATAGAAGCCTCCTCGAGCTCCGAGGAACATCCATTCAAGCTGCCCGGGATCTTTACTACATCCATGCCCAGCTTCAGACCGAGGCTGTCACAGTATGGGACCGGCACGAAGGGAACTCATGGTGGTCAGAGGGAGAGGATATCTACGCCTACCAAAAATGGATCAACAAAGGCAACTTCTTCAAGCGGATGATGTATCTCGCTACCCACAAGCGAACTCGAAGAGCGTGCACGGTGGCTTTGATTGTAATGGCATCGCAACAACTATGTGGTGTAAGTCTTCTACACGTCTGGAATATTCTATGGTCACACTTGACTAACGCTTAATCTCCTCCAAACCAATAGATCAACGTTTTAGCATTCTATTCCTCCTCGCTTTTGCACACTGAGTCCGGTGACTCGAGGGAACTGAGTGAAGCCCTGTTTACATCTCACACGGCCGTCAAATGGTATAATGTCGGTAGGTGACTATGAAAAGACATCTTCACAAGATAGCGCTCCAACTAATTCGCCAAAAAAGCCTTCGGTCTAGCCAGCTTTCTGTTTACTTTCCCTGCATACATATACATTGACCTGCGTGGCCGCCGACCCCTGCTACTTATCTCATTTATTGGGATGTTTTTCAGTCTGGTCGCAGTCAGCGGCTTCTTCAAAATCGCGGACCATGACACTCGGTTAATCTTAATCGCAGTATTTACGAGTTTATTCTTTGTGTTTTCCTACTCAATTGGTGCTGGACCTATTCCTTTCACACTGAGTGCGGAGGTGTTCCCTCTATGCGTGCGCGGTACATCGATCCTCCCCTTTGCTTTACTATCACAGACTAACAAGTGCCAGAGGTGGGAATGAGCTTCAGTGTCATGATCAATTTCCTTGGTCTTGGGCTGTTAGTACTTTTTGTGCCTCAGTTGACCAACAAATTTGGGGGCCAGGCAAATCTTCTCTTCTTCTTCTCGTGAGATTACCGTTTCTGATGCATTATCTGCTTAGATACTGACTACGTCATAGAGGCATGAACGTATTGGCACTCATCTTAATTTTCTTGTTGGTGAGTCTCGTCTGTGTCTTCTACTCTGCGCTTCACGCTAATATTTCAGGTCCCCGAAACCAAGGACGTGTCACTAGAGAACATGAACTCGATATGTAAGGTGTTATGCTTAATCCAACTGGATTCTGCTGATAATATCACAGTCAACCGCACAACAAAAGAACAGGTTCTAATTCACGCTCCGTCCTTTGAACCCCTCTATCCGAAGTCATCACGCCAGGGGGATAGGGAGAGTATAACTCTTGAAAGTATGAAATGAGCAGGATTATTTGAGAATGTGCATACGCAGGTGGTGCCTTTTGTCAATACCAATAAAAATAAGATGGTAATTCGCAGTTGAATCTTTCAAAATCGAACGACAGCGCTGGAGGGATATAAAACCGGAGGCAGCAAAACAAACGAGAAATGAGAAATTATACCGCGTAAAAGTTAAGGCCCCGCGGCTGGATGTTCTCTCTTTACGTTCTTGAGCAATTTTTTCATGTCAGACGAGATTCCGTGCGGTACAGTGTAGCCCACTGGAAGGGTTGCACCCGCACCGACAAGCGCCTTGACGACCAGGAGTTTGGTTTGCATGACAGCAACTTCTAATGGACTCATCTCCACAGGGGTTCCTGGGTTGTATGTCCTTTTCACACTTGCTCCTCCTTCTAAAAGTGCCTTGAACTTCTTTCCCCACAAAGAGTCTGGCTCTAAGGATGTATATGAACCATTCAGCGCGAGGCGGATGTGCATCATCATCGGCGTCACATATGCTGCTGCCTTTGGTAGATTGCCTTCGCTATCGAGTGGCATATCGGGCGGAGGCTGATCGAAGATCATCTTATGCTTGAAAGCCCCGATGACGTCTTCTTTAGCGCGACTATCAAATTTCACCGCATAGTGTAGACAGTTTAACTTTTCTTGTTGCGCGCAGATTCTGTGGTCTGCACCCCGCTCCAGAAGTAATGAGACGATACCGGTGTGACCAAGGAAGGCTGCTTGCATGAGCGGAGTCTTATCGTCGCACAGTTCGTTCAACAAAGCAGTGGTGTCGGCATTGGAATCAGGACCGATATGGGCATCGATTACAGCTTCCACAGTATCGACGTTGCCCTTGCAAACTGCAAGATAGAGTGGTGTTTTTCCTTTGGATGAGGGGGCGCGCACGTTTAAACTTCGGTGGTGAAATCTTCGCTCGTATTCGGAAAGTTCTTTGACCATATCAGCATTGACCAACTCAATAGAATGGATCAAAGGTCGTTCGCCCTTGTGGCATTGTTCCAAGTCAAGGTTGTCTTCCAGAGCTTGACGGACATTGTCCATTTCCCCGGATTTTATGGCAGTGACAAGAAGACCCACTCCTCTCACTGGTGCACGTGGGGGAGGTGGGACCATACCGCCATCGGTTCCCTGGTAGGTCTCTGAACTGGTTGGAGAATTGGTCGAAAACCTTGACGATCCGCTTGAATGAAGTGCGTGTAAATCGCTTCGAACTTCATGTGCCGATGAGCGTTGGTGGTAATCTATCTGCAGCATTGAGCGAAGAACCTTCTGCATTTTCTCAAGGAAACCAAGGTTGTGGAGAGTGCGGTATCGGGTTGGCAAACTCTGAAGCCAGGCCTCGACACTCGGATGAAGAGCAGGAGGATCTTTTTGATAGAAAGAATCGTCGAGGACGCGTCCGACGAGTGGCTTTCTTCGATTTTCGTCAAGTTCTGTCAGACTCGCAGGATCAAGCCCCAAGGCAAAGACGCGCACTAGTATACACCCGAACGACCAGACGTCACTCCTTCGTTGAGTATGAGCCTCTGGTGGCTGGTATGCGCCTCCTTTTGGAGAATGATCATTTAAGCTAGTAGTGTATCCTGAGCGATGCCTCCTAGCTTCCGGTAGAGCACGCCTTGCTACTCGCGAGACACCAAAATCAGAAATTCGCCAAACTCCTGTAGAACAGCCCTCGCGCTTGAAGACCAAAATATTTCGGGGCTTGAGATCCGCGTGACAGATTGCTAGGTGGCGAAATTCCTCCCATTCACTTTCGAGTTGCAGACTTTCGTGCAGGAAATGAATGGCCGATGCAACCTTCCTGGACTCCTCGATTAAATCGTCCAGGAGAGGGGCAGGTGTGGTAGATTGCATTTCTCTGTAACCTCCGGCCAAGAAATCCTCCAAGTCCATGTCCGCCCATGGCATGATGATGTTCCACTCATTTCTAATCTTAAATATCGCAAGATTAGAAACGACTTGCTTGTGGCTGGACAGGCTCGATCGGAGAAGTTTCAATAGTCTCACTTCAGGGTCAGAATTTGCCCTTGGAAAGAAGCGCTTTCGGGCAATAATGAGTTTGACCTACCCGAAGAAGAACCTGTAAGCGACCAGCCGTATCAAGTCATGCAGTATGAAACTTACTGGATGAGGCACCTTTGGTATACCGATGTCATCGCTCAAATGGCCTAGGATGATATGGTTCGGAGGTATGATCTCCTTGGTCACTTCTCCGTAGCCACCCTCTCGAAGTACATGGTCCTCCCGGAAAAGTGGTAACCGGTAGTTCTCTCCGTAAGCGTCTTCCACATTCTCGTTCAAGACCACTGGAAAGTAACTCCACCTATGAGTCACGAAGTGGCCCGCCAGGTTGGTATCCCGAAGAAAGGAGTCGCTCTCGAGTTCCTGTCTGGTGAAGTCGAGGATGTTTTTGTCGCGGCGACGATCGGCGACATCATCATCTGGCGGGAAGAAAATCTGTCTGAACCTTGACCATCCCGACCAATCTCGCGGAACGACGCCAGTGAGTATGGATATCGTACGCAATAGACCCTCTCGCGCTGCAGCTATGTCTGATCTACCCAGACTTGAATCATGGGTCTTCAGAAACTGTTCTAGCCGATCCCCGGCCCATATCTTTCGGACGCTTTCGTACGGGATGAATGCCTCTGGTGTGTCGTAGTGGTATGTCTCTTTCTTAAGATCGCTTTGGATATCCCCAAAGCTCATTTGGCTGGCGTTGACCAACAAAAGCCCGAATAAAGACAGGGCAGAAGCAATCTTCGTCGTGGGCGTAGACTGACTTGCGTCGATTTGGGCTTGTTTGAGGAAGAGCGTGTGGCAAAAAGAGGCAGGAAGCTAGAGTGACAGAGAGATGGACGTCAGCAGGGACAACTGCAAGGTGCTTTCACTTTATAGCAAGCTCAGCCTCTAATTCTGATGGTTGTCTGCCAAGATTCCGGGTGCGACGCAGTATGGGGGCATCGCGTCGTCGCTACCAGCTCAAATAGGTGCGTTGAGTTTCTTTTGTCTCGTTGCCTCGTTGCCTCTTCATGTTCAAGTCAATAAAATAGCAATAAGTTGGGGGGAAGCCCATATTTGAGGCTGGGATCGGGAGAGTCAGAGCGGGGGTGGGTTCGCCCAAATTGCGGAGTAAGACCGGGGTAGTTCATACTGAGGTCTTTCATCAAGAAGCCGGAGACACCGTGCTTCTTAATGACCTAGAATTTTTATATTAATGGAACCAACTATCAGACAACTTGTCCCCTTCTCTCCCATCCAGAGGGGGTAGATGCCACAGTGCGAAGACGTCCAAGCTCAGTGTGGCCACCATTGTTTACATTGAAGAATATATATTCATTCAACTTATCACCGATTTAGTTCTTACTACTGTGTCGTTAAACATGCTTGAGCAACATACGCTGCTTACCCTCGCGTTACCCCGGCACAGGGATAATAGTAATGGTCGAGAAATGAGGTATAGTATAAAGCTTGGGAGATCATTTCCATAAGAATATTGCTTGTACGAAGAGAAGGGTGTATTATCTGCCTAAAACTAAAAATGCTATTCATTTACTAGAGCTATGCCAACTGTGAAAAGGCAGTCTCAAAAGCCGCCAAAAGAGGAGCGATATGAGATTCCTCGAAGATCAGCATGGGGCGCAACCGAACAGTTTGAACACCGCAGCTCCCGATATTGATGCCCAACTCGCGCATCTTATTCAGCATGGCGCTCGAGTCAGGAGTGTCAAAGGCAATATATGTGCCCTTATTCTTGCCACGGAGATTCTGTATCCAGTTGGGGTACTTGACTCCCAAAGCAGCCAGTCCGTCGTAGAGGACTACACCAACTTGAGCCTGTGTGAGAAAGGATAATGTTAGATATAATAGGCATTATCGGATAAGAAAGTTGAGGCTTACAGTCTTTTCGACCAGCTTCTTGCTGAGAATCTCGTCAATGACGGCATTGCAGATGATGATTCGGGCGGCATCTCCCATCCATCTGGTTAGCGTGGTCAGCTTATATTTGCCCACAATAATCATGGGATATATAAATTCGGGCTCTCTTACGTGTTGAATTGCCGATAAGCCTTGTCGGGGCGAAGATTCTCATCGCTGAAGAAGTATCCAGCGGTTTGGGCCTTCTTAGAGAAGGTCACAATATCCACAGGAGAAGGCAGAGCCCAGTGCTGGTGGGCCCAGAATTTGCCTGTTGCTCCGAAGCCGGTCTGAACCTCGTCGACAATTAGGGTAATTCCATGTTCCTTGGTAATGGCCTGAAGCTTCCGGAAGAAGGCTGGCGAGGCATGGTTGTCACCACCTTCGCTTTGAATGGGCTCAACAATAATACCAGCGACGGGGCAGTGCCAGGAAGAAATAATGTTTTGAACCTCCTGCAGGCATCGCTCCTCTTCTCGCGTGTTCTCTTGAACGTGGGCCTCCAGCGGATATTTGAGCTGGGGGAAAGTTGCCTGGGGCCACTTGAAAGCGGGAATGTCTACCTTATGGACTGGCTTAGAGCGGGTGGTGGACAAACTGCCAAAGCTGCGACCATGGAAGGAGTTGCGGAAGCTCAGAATAGCCAAATCGGGAGAACCAGGAGCTTGGTTTTTCATTGCTGTCTCCTGCTCATACTCGGTCCAAGGGCGGCCAGCTCGTTGCTGCCGACGATAGGCCATGAAAGCCGCCTTGAAGGCGAGGTCATTGGCCTCAGACCCAGACTGCGCTGGGAACACCTGTGTGCATCCGGGAGGAGCTGCTCGCATCAGACCTTCGCGCAATAGGGCAAGCCATCGGTTCGAAGGGAAATTTCCATTAGCCGGGCGGTTGACCAGGGCAGAGACAATCTCGGGTGATCTTGCCGCCTTGATTAAAGTGGGATTGTTGTATCCGACGGGAATAGAGGCGATTTGTGCATACAAGTCAAGGTAGGCGTTGCCGTCAACGTCGGTGATGCTAGAAGGAAGCCGTCAGGAAATGCGCTAAGAGCGCCAAAGTGGGTTGATGATTTACTAGTTTCCAATACTCTTGTCATAGTCAATGACCATCTGCACAGTGCGGGAATCGATGACAGAATCTAAATCCTCTTTGGTTCTGTGCGTCGCAGGTCCGGGGACTGCTGTGCGCATTGAGGGCGCGGCGGGTTCAGATACAAAAGACATGATGAAAATGAGAAAGAAAGAAGAGAAATGACCACAAAGAGATAACAGAGGTCCGTTATCGATATTTCCTGGAAAGAAAAATCCCGAGGGCAGTGACTTGGCGTGTTTATATGCGCGTTGATGCGCATAGCCAACCGACTCGGACCGGGTAGGCAGTCTGAAACCCGGTGGAAACAAGAGAAAGAAGAAGAAGAAGAAGAAGAAGAAGAAGAAGAAGAAGACCGGTTACAGTACAAGGATTTACGCAGATCAAGGAATAATAGTCCTTGTAGGTGAGCGAGTCTTGCCGATCTAAATCCCAATGATCGTCAAATAGATGGCCGGGTGACTGTACCCGGGAAATTTATTCACGTTTGTTATACCCGGACGGATTGCCTTTTCAGCATAATGACACCAGATATTACGTGTTGTCTGGATATACTCCTATTCTTTACCGTTCATGTCATTCAAAGGCCCGGGTTCTGCTGGTTGGTGGAATTGTCAGCATCGCGGTGTATATTGCTGATACCTTAATCTCTTCTAGTACTACTGGCCATACAGTGATCGTCCATTTCCGTACTAATTCTAAACATTGGTCTTCATTATATTGTACTCCTATGCATTTCTTTGATCTGACCATATATCCTTTTTCAATGTAGCGAAACGCAAATAGCTAACGCGTTTACTTGCGTAGGGATGAGAGAGGACAAGGCCGCGATACCGTGCGCACAATGTCCACTGCGAGTTACGTGAGAGCACATTATAGTTCGAGTACAGGAATTTGGGATTTCTTTTTACCAGATGGTTGGCATAGAATTGCGAATTTAGAATCTAGGCCTAGCTCTAGTCTTGAGGTATTTCGTATCCCACGAATGATCGCCTGTACGCTCCGTGTGAGAAGCCAAGCCTACTTAACTTAGAATATTCCACCCAAGGTGATGCTCTTGACATTCACAAATCCCTCGATTCCATACTTGCTTCCTTCGCGGCCGAAACCGCTCTGTTTCACACCACCAAATCTGCAAAGCCAATGGTCGCGTTAGCCACTTATTAAAGAGAACCGGGGGAGATGGGGTATGCTTACGGAGCAGCGACATCACTGACAGAGCCAGTGTTGGCACCCACCATACCAGCCTCGAGAGCTTCCGCCACGCGGAAGACTCTTCTGATGTTATCACTGAAGATATACGCCGCTAGGCCAACTTCGCAGCGGTTGGCTAGCTGGATCACCTCTTCCTCAGTATCGAAGGGGAATAGGGCTGCCACGGGCCCAAACGTTTCTTCATAGGCAATGCGCATATCATGGGTCATATCAGCTAAGACCGTAGGCTGAAAGAAGGTTGGCCCTAGTTCATTCATTGGGTTCCCACCTAGAAGGACACGAGCACCTTTAGATTTAGCGTCGGCAACGTGATCGCCAACCCTTTGTGCAGCTGCAGGATGAATGAGAGGCCCATGGGTGACACCCTCAGCGAATCCAGGTCCGACCTTGAAGTTCTTGATGCGCTTGACAAGTAGGTCCGCAAAGGCTTCATAGCGGGATCGGTGGATGTAGATTCGATTAGCGCAGACGCAGGTTTGTCCAGTACCTCGGAACTTCGAGGCAAGAGCGCCAGCAACTGCGGTATCGATATCTTCCACGTCATCAAAGACAATGAACGGAGCATTGCCGCCAAGTTCCCAAGAGACCCGCTTCACACTAGCAGAGGCCTGTCCCATTAGGAGTCTACCCACACGGGTCGAGCCCGTAAATGAGACCTTCTTGATATCCGGATGAGTGGTGAGAGTCTGGCCGACCTCAGAGGTATTCTCCAGCGCAGTCACGATGTTTATCACACCTTTAGGAATACCCGCTCGAACGGCTAGTTCCGCAAGGGCATTGGCAGTGAATGGAGTCTCCCCGGGGCTTTTCGCGACAACCGTACAGCCAGCCGCCAATGCCGGGCCGATCTTACGGGTGATCATGGCTGCAGGGAAGTTCCACGGAGTGATCAAGCCGCACACACCCACAGGCTCCTTAATTGTTAAAACTCGGCTGCCAGGAACGGATACAGGAATCGTATCGGCGTATAAGCGGGGGGCTTCCTCGCTAAACCATTCAATGAAAGCTGCAGCGTACTTGACCTCGCCTTGGGCCTCGGTAAACGGTTTCCCATTCTCCCAAGTCATCAAGGTCGCCAAGTCGTCCAAGTTTTGCAGAATGAGGTCATTCCAACGCCTCAGCAGTCGAGACCTTTCGCGTACCAGCGTCTTACGAAATAAAGGGAATGCATCCGAAGCTGCCTGGATGGCTCTCTCGGTATCTTTTGCGTTGAATTCCGGGCACGTTCCGATGACTTTGCTGGTGGCTGGATCTAATCATCCATTATCAGAACCTTAGGCACACAAGCTGTTTGTAATTTTCCTTACCAATGACCTCAAAGGTCTTTCCCGATTGAGCCTCAACCCATTCACTGTCGATGTGGCATTTTCCAATGAACAAAGACTTGTCTTTCAACTGAAGCCACACATTAACCTTGGAATTCTTATTCCAGAGTGATACGAAACCGAGTCCTTGACTTACTTGTGGCACGGTATGAGTCATGGTGAATGTTCGTATTCTTGATTGGCGAAGTGAAAGCCGTGAAAAGTTGAGACGCATGCAGTATCTAGGAACGTGTGAGTTGCCTTATATGCGATAGAGCGGCGCGTATATTTAGATTTTATTTCGAATCTACATTACAGATCTATTATACTCTGTTTCTACCTGCCAACTTCTTTGGTAACGCCAGTGGGCTCGGGCCGGGCTTAGATACAGCCATAGTATACTCGGCTAGCATTCCGTTACATTATTGGTGAGTAGTAGTCTACGGCGGAACGCTAGGTGAAAATTTCAATCCGGCTAATTAGGACTTAATTAGTACACGCACGCTGTTTTGTCCCTGCTTCGATAATATGATGTCTTGGACTCGGGTACATGTACCCGGCGACTCTGAGTGACGTCACCGGCAAAACAATTGTGATCCATGGATGGTACATTACATAGAATATGTCATGGAATTAGAAGACCTCAGGAATTCTATTTATTGGGACTGGTTAAACTCCTAACCTATCAAGGTACCCTTTTGCTTCAATTTGAAATCTACGATTCCCCGCAGGAGAGTACAAGGGGCTTTCAGGCCCATTAGTAGAACGCTAAAGCTACATACGTACTCGGATTAGTATGGGATGAAACGATACAATGCAGTACTGCATGTAATATGTTTGTTGTGTGAAGAAACTAAGTGGGTAAAAGACTATCTATGGAGATCATGAGATATTGGAGCATATTTATATGAGGCACCGAGGTCGATCTTCAAAAGGCTTATTGACACGGAATATAATAAAATGAATTCCGTTGACTCGCAAGATCAAGCTCCCTAGTCCAAGAACCGGAGTATCGTGGACAAGCCGATAAAGATAGACCGGAAAACCGGTAGTCTTCTGGGCGAGCTTGAAGAGCTGCCAATGCACCATCCTATTTTGAGTAAGAAACCACTGGTAATTCAAACAAAAGACAGAAAGAACCGCGGCTTTCGAATACTACGTAGCTCCAGAGCATCACTTCGTACATCAAAACCTACTGTCCCGCCTCATATGCCTTCGCCATATCGCCCATAGTGTCAAACCGCCAATCATAAATATTTTCCGACAAGTTCCCCATGGTAGCACCCGGTCGCTCAATCCAGGCGGACTTAATTCCAATCTTCCTGGCAGGATGATGGTCGTGGAACTGGCTCTGGGCAGTTTGGAGGACCTGCGAAGGTTCAATGTCGAAAGTCGATTTCACAGTGCTCAGCATGTATTCGAAATTGCGAATATCGGGCTTATAAGAGCCCACATCTTGAGCGGTGATAATCAAGTCAAAGGGGAAGTCCTCTAGGCTGCCTGTGTTGGTTTTCGCGAACGATGCACGATCAACATTCGATAGAACCACCAACTTGAAATGCTTGGAGAGACGCTTGAGAGCATCAAGGGTGTCCGGAAACGCGGGCCAACTGCCGACTGACTCCCCAAATCGGTTGCTTTCCTCCTGGGAGGGGATATCGAGACCCAGACGCTCGGCAAACTTGGGGTGCACAGTGGCCAACAACTGATGGTACGGCATATCGGGAGTCCTGCTCTGTTGCTCGCGCTCTAGCTCGTGGTAGACGGTGAGCAGATGTCTGCGTGAGAATTGAGCTTTAGATTTGTCCAAAGTGGGCTGGAATGCAGCGAGAATGCCTCCCTCCCAGTCAACGAGAGTGCCGTAGACATCGAAGGAAAGCACACGGTAGTCGGAAAGTCGAGTCATTGTAAAGCTCCGGTTGTGGCACGATAAATGGACAGGTCGAAGCTCGCAGGAAGATGGGCGTTGCCTTTTAATCGGACCTCTCCGGGTACTGAGACCCGAGGGACTGACATAATAGCCAACATATTGGCCGGATATCAAACCACGATGATAGTGCTCTTATTGTTATTAGAAACTTCAAAGAAAACAGTACCAAACTATTATCTCCTTGTTGATATCATGGCGGTGCATATAGACTTACAGTCTACCGTTCTCTTCCATAGTGCTACACTAGCTTGTAGATCCGAACACTCTTCACTTATTGTTCTCTTATGTATACTAGCGTAATCGAAGAAGTCGAGCTATTTTTTTTTTATGAATCGCTAATTTTGATTCATTCGTTCATAAATATAGCAAGTCTTATCAAATGACGTTAGTAAGAACCTACCGAAGCTAGACTATGAATGCTCGAGAAAGATTTATTCGCATCTAACAAAATAGTATCCGCAATAGCCATCCGCTAGTCCTACCCCGACACTGCTAATCTTTTTATCTCGTCCTTGAGAGCTCTTTTGACCCCTTCCACCATGTCGGCTTCTACAGCCCCTTCTTGCCAGGAGAAGCCTAACACTAATCGTCCATCAGGCCCTGTCACAGCACTGACCTTGATCGCGGCGCTGCAAGCACTAGAGCTCTGACTGAACAACATACTCTCAAGTTCGAAGTTCGATGACCCTCGCGAAGTAAAACTTGACCCAACGTTGGATAACTCAAATGCACTCATTCTTTTCCGGCCCAGCTTTTGCAGCATCCAGCGATGCTGGTTTTGAATGAATTCTAAGTATCGAACTGGCATGTCACCCCCTTTCCGTGCCATAGCATGTTCGATGGCCACCTTTGTACGACGAGCCTCACCCCAATCAAAAGATGGCCTTCTCTGGTACGTTGTGGATGTCGATCCGACATAGCAACCCAAAGTGCTCTCAGTGATCGGCTCTGGTAGGAATTTCCGTAGGGATACCGCACAGTCGGCCTGAAGTGTATGGTATGTTGACGGAAGAACAGAAAAGATGCAGGTTGCAATGAGCACTTGAAGTGTCGCCGTGACGGAGGTCTGCTCTTTCTTACTCAGTGCAATGAGGACATTCGTGTCAGCCTCAGATAGCCATAAAGAAGAAAAGCGACTCTTTACAGGCGTGAACTGGGGAGTGGCGGTCCAGCTATCGGGAGATGGCTCACTGTACTTCTTTTGAGATCGTAAGAATTCTTGTGACACAGGGATTGTATATAAGCCCTCTAGTGGTGGAATAAGGGCAATAGAAGGACTATAGACCGCATCGCTTGTCTCAAGACCGGAATATTGAGCCATGTGTCTTTCCAGTTCAGCGTGGAAGGACAGAGCGCTTTTGGTATCCATAAGTGAATGGTGAAATATGAACACAAGGCCAAAGCTTTCAGGGCAATTGCTTCTCTCCAGTACGCATAATCTCCAGAAAGGAAGGGTCTTATTCGGCTGGACCCCGAAGGGGCAATTGTGTTGCTCCTCAAGGACCTTGTGGAGGATCTCTCCCCAATCCGAGCTCGGAGAATTCGTATCGTCTTCCATAAACTCCACAACCTCGCTTAGTGTAATCTTAGGAAGACGGACAAAATATGGATTTGGTGTATCAATAGCAAATGGAATGGCCGAAAGTATAGGGTGCTTCGCGATGAGCATCGAGAGAGCGTGAAAGAGTGCCGGTTTCACGGATACTCCGCTTGGTCGCTTATAGCAGGCTGTCAGACCCACGTTAAGGTAGATCCCCAAGTAACTCCGCGTCGTTGAATATTTTTCCGCATGTCCTAATGACTATCAGCAGTTGAAGATTAAAGGAAGTAGGTATCCTTACCCAGCAGCCGCAGTGGTGTAAAACCAGCTTCATGAAACACTTCCTCCATGGCGACGGAGAGAGAAAAGAGCTATCGAGCTGTGGTCAAGTCTGTTGCGATAGCTCTGAAGCAAGAGCCGTACTATTATTTCGCAATGTTGGGGTATTAGGGCCTTTTCAGACACCCGGCCCGGGTACGCGTACCCGCGTGGGCCCAAAGCTATAGCTCACATAGCATTTGTCGTCCCGACTTAGATGCAACGAAACATTGCCTGCACTTCAAGGGAAGTGAGACGATAAATAGAGATGTATTGACCATGCACGTAAATGATGGACAAAATCTGGGTTTGTTGCAACCCATACGAGTACCTAGGTAGGTACTCTCAGATGCAAAGAATGCAAATTCCAAATGTATTGTAGCCTCTTTCTGCCAAGGAGACATTTGACCGATGAAAACTGGTTTTCGTTCTTGAAGCTGTACATTTCTGTCAGTCACCAAGCCAAGACGTTATCTGTTATCTGTTATCTGTTATCGCTTATCTATTATCAAAGTCGCTTACATCATTTATGCCTAAGACCAAAATTCCAATAATGAACACCACAATGATAGCCGCTATTCCCCACCATCTTGATTTTTACGTGCCTGGAATATCTAGGTTCTTGTCCTGCATTGCAATGACGGAGCCAAGCAGCAAGGTGCTCAAGGGCAGGCAAAGGCGACCCCGTGTACCTGAATCGCTGCGAAAGAGGGCGGCACAAGCGTAAACATGCCATATACTGATCGAGACAAAGTTCCAATGGGGCTAACTTCCGGCGGCTTAGATGCTTGCCTTGTCGCCAGCATAAAGAAAAATGTATGGGCCTGTGACCACCTTCACGCACCGACTGACTGATCCAACTGAAAAGGCGGAGGCGGCAATCCTTGTGCTCGGTGTCAACAGCATCAAAGGACATGCCGTTTTGAAAGTGCCAGCCAACGGCGAATACCGATAGCCCGGAACGATCCATCAGGGTAAGCCTCTAGCAAGAATCTCGCTCGATCTGGAGTCAACAACTGATCTTTGCGAAAGTGATGGGCACCCGTCAGAGCGGCAGGCCAACGAACTTCAAATGAAGCGAATTATCACTCACTTGTTAGGTGACGTCTCTTTCGAGACCAGCAACCTCCAAAAAATTGCAGACAGCCTAAATCAAGGTCAGGGTCAGGAGCAGTCGGATGATGATTCAGTTGGTTCAAACGATGCTACCCCGACAAATGACTACTCTCTAGATCCCCTTTCAACTAGCACAATGCGTATGTGGCTATCCTGAGTTTGGTTTTCACCCAGTTGACATGACTCCATAGATTATTCGGGGGAGCTGTCCCATTGGAACTTCTCCAGAATGCTCGGACGGCGACTACAAAGTATTGGGGAAAGGACAGGGCAAAGCAAGGTACGCCCAGTGAGCTCCGCCGTTAAATTGCCAACAAGGACCTCGTTGAAGTTTGCGATATGCGATGCTAATGAAGGGAATTTAGAGCGTCGATCAGGCCGAGGGTTTCTTTAGGGCTACTGCTCTGCAGTCACCTGGCTCTTGTGTTGCCCTTGCAAAGACATATTTCCCCCCAAGACATATCGCGGAATTCTTGACAAGCGCTTTCTTGAAATTCAGTCAAACGAATTATTTTTATTTTCACGAAGCTACTTTCCGCGAGAAACTGGACTTCTATTACGCCACGGAGCACCCACTGTCGATCAATGACGCTGGTTGGGTATGCACTCTTCTCATGACTTTTGCAGTTGGCACACAGTTCGCCCATATGCAGACCAAATCGATATCTGGTAGTAGTGTATCTACTACTGAAACTAGTCCAGATGACCAAATAGGGTTGGAGCTCTATCGGTTTTCGTGTCGACTCATTCCGGATCTTATCACGGTTGCAAGTGTAGAGACTGTGCAGGCATTCTTGCTGCTGGGTGTGTATACTTTACCGATAGACACAGCAGGTTTGGCGTACGTTTACTATGGCCTTGCAATTAAGATGGCGATCCAAAATGGCATGCACCGGAAGCTACTTGAAGGCAACGTTGCCCCAGAGATTATGGAAGTGCGAAATCGCCTTTGGTGGTCTGCATATTCGCTGGAAAGGTAAGAATGCTGCAGTTAGCCCCGCGTCTCCAAATATGACGTTCGAAACGTTCTAACTGCTCGGATAGTCGCATCAGTATTTTGCATGGCCGCCCTGTGTCTGTTTCTCCCGCCGAAATTGATACCCCCATGCCTGTCGACCTTCCGGCTCTACGACCAATTGACCAATTAACCAACCTACCCAGCTTCACCGCTACGATCGTCTTAACAAGTCAGTTGGCAAAAGCTGCGGATGCGATGAGGTCTCTCCGGCGTTGCCATAGGGCTAGAAAGAAGAAGTATGTTCGGCAGCTTGCCGCAACCCGCGATCAACTAAGCTCATGGTGGGAAAGTCTTCCCACTGAGATCCACTGCCGAGATCTCACTCCTGCTGGAGCATACTTCCGTTGCAATGTGCACCTTGAAATCTATTACAGGACAACCTTGATCTACATGGGCCGTCCTTTCATTATATCTCAAGCGGCATCTGGGTCATTCAACCTGGACTCGGGCTCAACCATTCACGAAGTCCCAGATATTGTGAACACTCTTCGACGCGACTCACTTCATGCGGCCCTTAGAGTGATTGAGCTTTGCCAGCTTTTACAGGACACCGTCGGCCTCGCACGTGTATCGTACACCGAATTCAATGGGTGCCGCGTTGCTTTATTGGCGCTCATCGCCCACAGCATCAACGAACCAACAAGCAGGATATCCAGTGTCTTAACTCAAGGTATGGGGCTTATCCGTCAGATCTGTCCCGGGCTGGAATCCGCGCGATCTGAGGTGGCTGTCATCGAAGCTCTTGAACGGGCAAGGCAACGGCTGCATAGTCATACCGTGGCAGAACAGAGGGGCGAGACTGATCATACAACAGGCTATGATCAATTCAAAGAATGGGCAAAACTTTGGCGAAGTGATCCGCTGGATTGTAGCGATGTCCTTGTCTCGACAAATTTGGACATGCCGTATGAACAGCGCTCGCCCAACTCTGTTCCTTCCTTTGATGGATTTTTCTCGTCTTTCCCGAATGAGCTAGGTGAATTCGCCGCCATTCCGGGGCTGGATTACGATTTGTCACTAGGCCGGGAATGGTTGGGTGCCTCTCAGCCTGAAGGTTCTGAATGGATCATGAATCAACCACTCTGATTGTGGAGCGCTCCAATAGTATGGATAAGGAGCCGTTCTTGCAGGCAAATAGAGACATCCTAGCAAGGTTCCCATTAGGGTTGAAGTTGTCGCTTCTAATATACAGGATCTTCTCTACTCAAGTCTTTGTCTTCCCAATATCACGAGAGACGAGTTCTGGGGGTAGTACGAAGCGTCCCAGCTTGAGCGACTCCCTTTCTTTTTCGGAGGAGATAACCTCCTGAGGTGACCGCCTTGAGTGGAGGATTTCCATTCCGGCCCTGAGTGATGTTGTTGATGAAGGCCTCCTTCCTAGTGAACAGAGGGCGGAAAGGTGTGTTTTTCCCGGACATGCGTCCTTGTGTGCAGATATGCCAAGAGGTTGAGTGCTTCACCTGTGATTCCCGCTCTTCGTCCTTCTTGCACATCACAACCTTGAACGCCATTTTTATCTGCTAGCAAAGGAAACCCGATTTATTACTAGTCTATAATACCTCTGCCTAAATGTATTCAAGGTGTGCCCCACGAACACCGAGACGGCCAATCTCACGGCTATTAACAATTATGATATGTACATGGGTAAAAGTAACTAGGTACATAAAAAAGAAATCAGGACCCGGGTCATAACATGGGTCACCTATACACTAATCTAGTCCTCATGTTTGACATTCACAACTGGGCCAGAATACTCTTTCCGTCCCTTGATGACATACATGATGAGACTAAGAATGAAAACCGCCCCAAAGATCACGACACTCCAGTTGAAATTTACAGCAGTGACCGGCAGCTCACCTGGCCAGAATGACCAAAACATCGCGAAAACGGAGTAACACAGGCCAATGATGTTTACAGCCAACCCCCAGGTCCGTCCCAGATCCCACCGACGAGCAGGCAGGGTATCGGGATGCCAGATCTTTCGCCAGATCACGCAGGTGATTGAGATCACGTATGTGTACATCAAGGCAGCGGTGTTGAGAGAGATGATGGCGTTGAATGCGGTATCAGAGCCGATGTTGATCAGAGAAAGCAGGCAGCTGAAGAGGCAAGTGAGGGCGATAGCATTGACGGGGATCTTGCGCTTGGGATCAATTTTGGAAATCCATCGAGAACAGGGAAGACCTTTGTCACGAGCAAAAGCCCACGTTTGGCGAGAGGTGGAGGCATTGAACATGATGTTGCTGAAAATGACAGGTAGCAAGATGATGGCTGTTAACCCGTTGACTCCTGCCGTGTTGGTAGCCTGCTTGAACACGTAGAGGAATGGGAATCCAGTAACGTCGTTAAGAGAATCCACGACGGATGGGGTGGCGAAGAGGTAGGCAATTAGCAAGATGGCAGCCATGATTCCATTGATGAAATATCCCCAGGCCATAGCGCGTGGTACGTTCCGGCCGGCGTCCTTAATTTCTTCCGACATATGCGCACACGCATCGGAACCTAAGGGCTAGTTAGTCTCTTTTCTATGGACTTTCCCTCTGCATGAATAAGATACGTGAAACTTACTAAGACAGCCGTAGATGGCTGAGATTTGTCCAACCATCACACTCAGTCCCATTGTAGGTAACCCTCCTAGATTTTCCCAATCCGAGACAAAAACAGCTTCAGCAGATTGGTGAGGAGCCATAGCCCACAGGACGATCAAGATCACCGCCCAGGAAAGGATGTGAAGGATCATCAAGACGTTACTCAAGATTGGCATCAGCTCTGACGCATAGACATTGAAAATATATGAGACCAGAACCATTGAGAATACCAGTAGAGTGCCTTGCCAGCCTTTAGGATCATAATCCGGATTGCGAACACTGATCAATCCCTGGATGATGGTGCCGGTGAGGAAGGATCCAGAAGCTGTTCCGGCTTGCCATGCCAGTACGGATATCCAGCCAGTGATGTAGCTGAGGAACTTCTGGTATCGAGGCGAGCAAAACTCCGATACCCAATGGTATTGGCCTCCATCGGTAGGTGCCATTGAAGCCATTTCCGACAACGACGCAATGATGAACCCGAATCCGATGAATGTCCAAATGTATGACCAGAACATGCCTGACAGGCCTCCATTCTCCAATCCCTGGTAGTTCGAACTGGAAGGAGTTAATGTTTTTGTCCTGTATCCCTGTCACTTGGAGAAAGGATATTTTCAATTGGCTCACATGATCAGAAATTCCCAAGTGGCTTGCAAGATTGATGCGAAGCTTAATGCCGCAAGAGGTCGCATGTTTCTCTAATTGAAGTCGCTGAACATTAGCCATGGATGTGGTACCTGCAAAAGCGAGTGAGCAAACCTTGAACTCTTGAATTTTTCCCATGCGATGCATTTCATGGTCGTCCAGTACCGTCCCGCCTTGTGTGGAGGCCCCTGGATTCCTGTGATCTATACCCATGTCCAGCGTCTCCAACGCGGTCGCTTTGGTTGAGGTTTCCATGATCCGGGTGAATAGCGGTCCAGACAAAAGAGTGACGGAGATGGAATTGGGTTCACAAGGATTAAGGGGCCGTGGGAGTAAAGTACTAAATTCTACCTCGATGGAGGGCCGGAATACCCTTGAAAAAATGGGCCCCTTACAGTGTACCCCCCCGCCATTCTAAAGCTTCACGAGGTCCATTTCGGAGAATTACTATGCAGTTGGCGTGTTTCGCTTTAAAATTATAACATAATTTGAACTTGTTATCGGGGCCTAGAGCGGCTTTCATTTCAACGAAAGCATGTTTTTGCGGCACTAAGCCAGGGCTGCATGCACCAATTCCTTCGCGCCTTTACTAAGTGGGGAATATATGGCCACGATGTAACAACTTTCTCGAAGACACAAAGTACCAAAAGCCAAGACATATAGTATCGGAGCTCGGAATGTTCTCCATAGGGCCGGCCGGTGAATGGACCGCGATTGGACTGGACTGATTGGCTCAGCGGGTAGATAGGCCCAAGATTTCCCATAGTCGTCCCAAGTTTATTTTCTACGAGGCATCTAAAAACATCTGCGTTCCATCATACATAATTCATCGATGCACAGGTCAACTCTTCAAAGCTAACTTGGAAGCTGGAGCTTTCAAGGGATGGGGAGTCATTAATATGAGGAAATTAAATCCCAACAGCCTTACTCCTTTTCGCTTCCCCTAGCCTTGACATGGCTTGACAAGGATTGCAAACCCCGAAAACCCTGCAACCCGGTTGGTTCTCTACGTCTACACCCTGCCTTTTTCCCGTGAACACCCCGGTCATGTTTGGTGCTCCTGTGGCGCACTAGCCTTATCGTCGACTTAATAAATCCTGGTTTTTAGCAAGGGTTGATAGCCATTGGAGTCTTTCTGACCATTCGGCCCGAAGAACTTCCCATTTGACCATCTGTGTTTTCCTTGAAAATGCCTTTGACCCTCTCATGTGTCAAATGTGAGAATTTCAGGCCCCAGGAGGCCTTTTTTCCCGTTGGTGTTTATACAGCTCCTAGCTTGTTATGTCGGCCACTTTGACGACATTGGCTTCGGGTGTGAGCCCTCCTCTTACGACAGATAATGACCATAACCATAGTGGACTGATTGTGGTCATCACCGCGGTCAACTTGTGTCTGGTTTTGTTCGCTCTTGGAGCGCGCACCTTCTCTTCCTACCATAGGAATAGTCTGCAGCGAGATGATTATACATTTGGGGCTCTCATGGTACAGTACTATCCACCCCATTGTAAACTGACAGTGCTCGAGCTTCTTGCCTCTGGACTAACAAATTAATAGCTTGCTGCAATCGTCCAGATTGTAATCGTGCTTTTCCAGGTCCACTATGGGTGGGGAACTCCTATCAATGACATCGAGACCACGAGCAAAGAGCAGATGCTGAAGGTAAGTCTTGGAGGAATTTAAACCTTCTAGGATATTTAACATTGCGAAGATAGTATATGCTGCCGATATCTTCTCTATTATTGTGCTTGGCCTTTCAAAAATGACAGCCTGCATGTTCTATGAGGGCCTATTCTCCCAGATACGTCCAATTTCCTACGCCGTTCTTCTGGTAATGGTCGCGTGGACAATATTATCCGCGCTTCTGTTGGGAATTCGGTGTTCTTCTATTCCCTGGTCCGAAATCAGTGCCGCTGAGTGCAGTGGATTGGTATGACTTGCCCCTACAACGAGTATAAGCACTGACCAGGATACAGCGTCCCCGCTGGGAAGTCATTACAGCCCTCGACATTTCCACCGAGATTTTACTCCTTGTGTATGCGGCACTTGCAATCCATAAAGTCAGGATCTCGACAAAGAAAAAGATAGTCGTGTTTTGCGCTCTCGAAAGTCGGATTTTGTATGTCCGTTCACTAGATTGATTTATGAACTCTTCTGTTGACATCAAAATTGGATAGGCTCATCCCTATCGCGGCAGTTCGTCTGCACTTCATCCTAGCCCAACTCTCCTCGGAAGATCCAAGTCTCCTCGGGTCCTTTGCCACTGTCTCAACGGAGATATACATTGGGCTAAGTGCCATCTGCCTCTTGACGGCCTTCCTCAAGTCCTTCATTGCAGTCTACGAGGACGATATTGGGATAACATATACGTATCGGGGGCCGTCCAAGTCTGATTCACGGTCGAGAACTGCTGCGTCGAAGGATACACCGTCTCGCAGGCTCTCCCATCGTGCGAGAATAGAGCGAGGAGTAGAGGGCTGGGAGCGAGAAGAGGACCCGATTATAGAATCATCCGAGGGTATTCAAGGCTTACAAATTATGAAGACTGTACAGTTAAGCGTGCGAGACGAGTCTATAGAGCTATCAGAGCGAGGGGGGACTACAGGTATCTAATAGAGTCTTCTTCTGGTCTATCAGATATAAAATAATAAACAATATTGTAACCTTTATCCGGGCCTTAGACATACTTTACCGTCAAAGTCTATCTGAATGGCAAGCGACGACTTCAGTCTAGTAGCTGTGGACTAAAGGGAGGTTTCTTTTGAAAATGACGGTCCTGTATCCTGCAACAAGTATTTAATTGGTTAAGTGGTCCCCTAGGTTAAGTTTTCACAGGGCAGGAAAATCAGTGAGCATAACAACACCTATAGATCTATAGATCTATCTGTCGTATACTCCGAAATCGGGAATACCAAAGGCAGATGAATTGTCGAAGAAGCTAGAAGCCACGAAACTGGGAAATACTCTAACACGATTAACATCATGCGACGATTCTGCCTAGTACGCAAACTGAACACAAAGGCAACAATTGGCCCCGGTGAGACACTGGGCTTCAAGTGCCATACTTGGTACAGTAAGCTAGGACTGATCCCGAGGTCCCGCTCGCTCTCACTCTCTCACTCACTCTCACTTCACTCTCACTTCACTCTCACTGTCACTCTCCCAAGTTTACGTTGCTTTTTCTTAAGACTTGTCCTTCAAAGATTTTCACGGTCATTGGCGCCATCCTTTTCTCTCGCTGCTTCGCTATTTTACATCCCTGGCTGCTCTGATCCAAGCCAGACCAAGACCCCAACCATCCCATTTCTATATAGACTCGATCTCATTTGTTATCAACATGCCTGCAGCGAAGTTCTTTCATCGTGTTCCCGAGACATTGGGGGAGTGGGACACCGCGGCGAAGAAATCAGCACTAAACCACGACCCAGACCCACAGCAACAGTGGAATTCAGCGTCAAAACTGACCAAGAAGGAATATCTACTTCTGCATCGTTTGTGGACCCACCATAAAAGAAAGGCGCCGGCAAGATGGTGAAAAGGGCTGAAATTGACGGATACTTTGCGGAGGAAGACGGCCCAATCGAGTTGATCCTTGAGGCCAAAGCAGAACCACAAAATCGCCATGAGTCCGAAGTGCCTATTAAAGAGACGGGGGAAGTAGTCACTTCACCCATAATACAGGAAGTGGATTCCGACTGGTAGGACTGGCCTTTCTATACCCTAGCCTTAGCCATGTTATCCAGTGCTAATACGCCAACGGTGTAGGTGGTCTAAGATAGGCAGCAGACCAGATCGAGCTACATGGCATACAGCGCTCTTCCTTTGGTCTTATAGGACGTAACAGAGCTATAAATCACAGCCGCCATTTTTGACGAAACGTACCTCAGCTGGATTACGAACGAACGGCACAAGCTGCCGAATCACAACTTCCTGCAACTGAACATGAACGAGTACAGGCCACGGATTTAACCAATGCTGACAATATGAAGGAGTTTGCGGTGTTTGCTCGAGCCATTATGCTAGAAGCCGACTCTTAACCGTCGTCTGGACAGAACGGTGGGACCTCCTACCTCTGTCACCACCCCCCACCCGACTCAGCGAAGCGACAAGTCAGCCCTCCTTGGAGCGACAACTTAATCAAACAACAGCCCCCTGTCTTTTCATTTGACTAAAGAAGATACCATCATATACCGAAATGGTCCCAATGGCACCAGGACGGCCCAGGAAGTCGGGGTTCGAAAGAATAGCGGACTTTCAGAAGTTCGCCGAGACGACTGAACGGAAGATCAATGACCTGGTCCTTATTTCGGGAAGCCCCGAGATTAAGAAAACATCGCACTCGGATCCAAAATTTATGGACCGACTGGACGATTAGGAAAGGGGGGATCCCAAATCCCCCAACCGGTGACAGTGTGTTAGAATTCGTTGCAACCGTTGCGTTTGTAACGGAACCGAACGCACTCGGTGCGAAGGTCATCTCAAAGGGACGATCCAAGGGCTCCACTGTCAGGTCGTGCGAATCTTGAAGTTTAATATGCCCAGTTTTGAATACGCGCAGAGGAACTTTGCCCGGTTCTATGAACGGCTGAAGCAGTAAGTAACAAATGGTAAGCTGACAACAACTTGCTACCGACAACGCCAGTGGATTTGTGTCAGAACGTCAGAAGATATGACAATTGCATGGATGGCCGATGCTCTAAGAAAGAGTGGCAGTGGGCGGATCTTATTAGTTTCCTCAGTGTGATTATGCAGGCGGCGACGGGATGCCGCGTGGGTGACATGATCAGATCGGTGACTTCTTACACCCATATCAACGAAGCCATCATACCCACTGTGAGCCAGAAAATATCAATTATCTTATACTTAAGTCGCTAACAGCTATTAGTACTGGGGCAGCCATGCTATTCGTCAAGGCCGACAAGGGGAAGGGGAAGGGCAAGGACGGTGGGAAGGCTCCGATAATTGGTGCGGGTGCCCCCGTGACTTCGAAGAAGGGCGGCAAGGCTGACCAGAAACGTGCGGCTTCCGGAACGCCCGCAAGTGCCAAAGGGCCCCCCTACGAAGGAGTCGAAGAAGTCGAAGACGCAGTCTCACCCGAAGCATCAGCCCGCACAGCCCCGTTCTGGTCCTGTGTATAACGAGAGCATCTTCTAGTCCCCGTTGGAGTGGCTGTTGGTTTATAAGATGCGGGACTCGAGCCATTACTTTGACGCTCTCCGGCGGCTCCGTAAGGTGCGTGCGCGGGTTAGGCCAAGCCTAAAGCGGCAGCTTAGGACAAGCTTGGCTGGTGAGAGGAGCTAAAGGGTTATCTTTACCTTCGTATGTATATGACCGGACTAAGGCTTATAATGTGAATACTAATTGTTTTAGGAACTGATGAAGATGACCCCTGCCAATTCTGGAGGCTACACGAAAGTCAGTTTCCAACACTCGCAGCGCTCGCACGGGATATTTTCTCTACTCCTGCTACAGGGGCAGGAGTAGAGCGCTTATTCAGCTCAGCTCGCGATATCTGTCATTACAGACGTGCATCCCTTAGTGCAAAAGCCATCCAGGATCTTATGATGCTCCATTGTATGACCTGATTTGATGCGGACTATACTGAGGCCCAGCTATCTACGCAAAGCGAGATCCCAAGCGAGAGGATGGAGGCTGATGAAGAGGCAGAGGCACAACTTGCTGACTATGACGTAGCAGCAATCAGTGATGATGAGGAGGAGGGTGGTAATAAGCAGGCTGGTAAGATATATAAGCAGTTTGATAGTGCCTCGCCTGATGTAGATAAGAAAAGTCAGGCTAGTAGTGCTGATGATGACTTGGCTGAACTCCAGCTAATGGTAGTGTGGTAGCTATATTATTCTTCTCAAAGGCCTTGGTGTCGCATGCCCGGAAAAGGCAAAGCTATTCAGAACCGAACGCCAAACAACTCCAGTCCTTCAATTGGTAATGACCTCTGATGCAGTAGGACTCCCAGGCACGATATTGCTTGCTCCCAGGAGCTCTAGGTACTGCTCCCAGAGAACCCGGCGCTCCTAGGAGACAAAAGAGTTATAAGGTCCAAAGTACATGTCCACTCAATGGTTGCGCGGTGCCTAGGCTGCTAGGGTTCATCTTTGTAATAATGACCGCATCAGGGAAATTTGGCTAGGTATACGCGTGGCACTGGATCTTAGGGGCTTGCTGTTGTATTTGTTCTTTCTAAAAAACGTTTGTTAAATAATTTTCATTGCTGGTTCCAAATAAAAGTGTTAAATTTGATTTTAAAGCTGCCTCTGACTGTGAATCATAAGAATTCAGTAGGTCTTTGATTGAGTGCGTGCTACTGGACTATATAGACTGTCTTGGTATAATCCCCTATGCTTGATTTGATCTCTGGATGAAATGGCTGTTGAAACGCTTTATGCGGCCATGGATTCACGTTCCTCCTGCCACCAAACATTGATACTGTCGTTATCCTCTGCAATGTCGATTGGAGTCTTTCCTTCCCCATCTTTCGCCATAGGATCAAGTCCCTTAGACCGGAGGAGTTGAAACCGGGGCCACGCGCACCAAGATTCGAACTCAGGCGAGGTGAGCCCAGCAGCCAAATGCAGCAGCGTCTGCCCTTTTCCATTCGTCTCCTTGATGTTGTACCCGGCCTTTTCAAATTGATCGATGACATCTTGACCAATGGCAAAATATCGGTTATAAGAGTCCTCATCACCAAATCCATCGTGGCTGACCGTGCAGAAGATCTCCTGGGCTGTCATGCCTTCCGTATTACGTGCTTTGGGGTCAACACCGTCCTTAAAAAATTCCCGAAGAAAACGCCTTTGCTCATCACCCATTCGATCCCTTTCTCCTAGTCTACTACAAGCGAGGTAGTGAAGAACGGTGCTTCCACGCCCATCTCTAACAGCAGTATTGGCATTTGCAGCGAGAAGGGCATCTACCGCGGTTTCGAAATGATAAACTGATGCCGGGCTTTGTCGCTCTGGGAGATGATAGAGTTCACTCGCCAGATAGCAAGATTTAAAGGGTATAAACCAGCCTTGTCAGGCTGATTTATAAGACTAGGGCAGCTTTTGATCAGGTGCGCAAGTGTAGTATCGATAGGTGGTGGTAAATTTGTCCAAGCGCAATCGGTATAGGTAAACAGAAGGTGAAGGGCGTTTTTCCTATAATTGTCAACTGCCAGTAGATTGGCTCCATGTGACATTAAAAACGAGAGAAAAGTTGGGCCAGTACAAGACTTCGAGTTCTTGGCTTCAAACCCCCTCCACGGACTGTCTGGTTGAGGGTAAGGGTTTTCGTGGATTCCAGTTTCGTAGTCTATTGTGCTGAGATTACCATAGACACCACTTGTTGCAGCATCTGGACCCACTATGCTCCGACAGGCAGCAAGAAATAGTGTGCGACCCTGGGGATCTCGTCATTCGACATCTAGCGTGTCCCCTAGAGACTCGAATATAGGCTGGACGAACATGCCGTCCTCAAGTAGTGCATGAATGACACTACGCACCCCGTAATTGTCTGGAAGACCCAAATACTCAATACAATCATCAAGACTGCCTTCAAAATCTCTTATAAATTCGTCCAGATTAGGATCGTACACTCCTTGCTCGAGATGGCGCCGTTTGCGTTCCAGTCGAAGGGCATTTTCGATGATACCTCTGCGGGCGAATCCCCTCTGATCAAGGCTTGACACCTCGTCGTCTACCTCTTCGTCTACCTCTTCGTCTCTTGTTTGCCCGGGGTAAAGACCGACACATCGATATTTCAGGAGCGGCTGCCGATACAGCGCATACGGGTCTGCGCCATGCTGGAACAAGGCAGTCATAAGATGCGTGGCTTTGGGCTTATTAAGATAGCCGCAAGTGCTGGCCCGGTGAAGGGCAGGTTGTTCAGTTTGGTCGGGATTGAACAAAGGAGGCTTGGCACTTTTCTCTTCACTAGCCCAGTCCTCGGCGACTCCCGAGAAAACAGACTCTAGGTCGTCAAATCGTGCATTTGGGTCGACACCGGCAGCTAAAAGAGACTCAACACAGTCGATACGACCTTCCTCGACGGCTTCCCATAACTCAAGAGCCGCCACATCTCGCACTTCAAGTAGCATTGCGATAACTGCGAATAATGGTATCGCTTGATGGCCTGTGGAAGGTAGGAGAATAGGAATCAGTTTAGGGTTTCAAAAAACTAGGAACGTGTATGGAGTACTCCCAGGTCATTTATGTACCCATGGACCCTCAGACCGGGGCACACAGCTACTTAAGGTATCAAACCGCCTACGTGGGGCACTCAATAATTACCCAACCAATGGACCCGGGGTTCCACCACTGGCAATTGGGATCTGCGGTGAGCCCGGTTTTGAACAGTGCACAATCTTGGATGGAGTCTACCCAGCTTTCAACTCTAGTGACAAAATTATGCATAAAAAATAATCAAAAAGGTAATAAGGCATATCTCGGACACATGCCATCCAAGTGAGAAATTGAATGGAAAGCAGACAGGTATCTCGATCATCTCATCTTGAATCTCGAGTCTTTCACTCAAAGATCACTTGAGCTGCACACCTTTAGGAAGCTCACATTTTGCCACCTCCATCGCACCTATAGCGGACTGCAAGGCAGTCCGGTGATTGGGGTCTTCTTCCCCCGATATTGGGTACAAGCGGTCGTGAGCGCATCCTGAAAGCCACTGATGCCGGTATTTTTGGTCAAAGTACCTGGGCCATCCAGGGCCGTGATCGGCCTGCAACCGATTGGATCTTCTTGGTGGCCAGCTGTACTTCATGGCCAAGATTCGTTTGAATTCTGTCTTTGAGCCAACCTGATTTAATCCCGTGATCCTCAAAGTCCTTGAGACGCGCAAGGTACGCCTGCTCATTGGCAGCTTTGGCTTGACTGAGGTATTTCCTGATGTTTTTGTAGTTCCTATCCATAACTTTTTCTCTGGATACTTTGCCTCGTAGTCCGGGAGAGTTCCAGTGATGGTTGAGCGAGCCTTCCAATAATCGCCACCGGCACTGGGCAGTGGTCTCTCTGCATCTGTGCCGTCGACGTACGGACTCGATTTGATCACATCAAAGGCAGGTTGCATTTTGACGCCGCTCCTGGATGTCCCTTTCTTCACATCAACTTTGTCATCGGTTTCGGGCCTTTTCGTGTCTTTGATTTGCTGCAGTGTTAGTGGCTTGCCCTCTGCATCCTTGTATTCCACGCCGTGTGCATTTTTGTATACTGTTCTTGTGTTCCCGACGGATTTAGATCTTCAAAAACCCTCGGAGCCCAGATATATTTCAAGAACTTTTTGAGGCTACAGGCCTCCTTGGTCATTGGCTTCATCACTTCTGCATATTTCGGCCCAACGGTTCGTTGGGGTTTGCCCGCGTCGGCATAACCAACCTGACCTTCTAGTAAATACATGGAGTGGTAGGACAACCTGGACCAAAAGCCGAATTAGCTTGCTCTGGTTTCTGGAAGGAATGAATATTTGAGGGACAGAGCCATTAGAGGTCTCATAAGTGGACTTATTCTTCAGCGGCAGCACGTTTTCCATGTGTAAAGCTGGCCCTAGAACGGTACCTAGGAGAAGAAAGAAGTGAAGTAGAAAGAACTTCATGACTGATCGTACTCGGGACCCTTCAGAGGAGGAATGAAAAACTTGGAGCAATAAATACTAGGGGGCAACCATTTTGCCTTGTAGTAATTAAATCCTTTTCCCGCCAGAATGATTATGCTGGATGCTTCATAGTGATTGAGATTTTTCAAACATCTTGATCTAACTCTAACGAGCGATCGAGGTAACTGTAATACCGCTGGTGAATATTGGCTCCTAAACCTCCAATTACTACCGTTTCACTGCCAGAGGGGCTGGATTTTAGGCAAGACTCGGAGCTTGTTGTTTAGGATGTTTACTAGGTAGTGTATCCACTTCTTGTGTTTAAGTCGGCTAAGCTTCACGGGCCCCAGATCCTGTGGCTTGGCGAAGCAGGTGGAGACAAATTAATAGGGCCCCTTAAACCCAGCCCCCTGCTCGGGAGATCCCCGGTTATTCTGGGCCCGCAATATGCCTTGCTAGTATGGCTTGTAGATGAAGTGAGTATAGGTCACTTGTCATGTTCGATGCTCTGGTGGGTACCAATCCCAATTAGTTCAAAATAAATCATATAAAGCCATTATAGAATTGGAATACGGCCAAACTCGAGATTTGTCCGAAGGAACTCCCGGTGAAGGTATATAGTCGCCTTAATTGCCCGTTATAGTTAGATTAAGGGGTTTTAAAATCCACGATCACTGCTCGGCTAGGCTTTACAGCCCCCCATCCTCTGGCTTGGCGTTGGAAACTCTGAACGAGTGGAGACAGATCGATAGGAACCGCCCGTAATACGGCCGCTGCATCCTCAAATATTGCTAATTTCGAGTGATTGTCGGGTGGCGGGCACCGGGAAACTTCCGTTCTGCCTCCAACTTCACGATAGTCTTGTCCTGAGCCTTACCCTGTGTACTTCGCGTATATATACCTACTATTCGCACTATCTTAGGCGATAAAAAAGCGGCTAATCGGATTTGATGGCCACACTCTGATGGTGAGCGGAATTATGCCTCATACTAACCTGACCCCTGCGGCCTTTGCATGATAACAAAATGAAAGGTGCACGAGCGGATAGAGTAACTACTCGGTACCTAATCATAGAACGGCATAACCCACTTGGCTAGTAAAGTCTACTCGGTCTCTCCTAAATGATAAGGTATGAACTAATGAGATAGGATTAATTCGATCATCGGTATTTCGAATTCAAAATTTCCATGATCCGTGGAAAGACGCGGCCTGAGCCTTGTACCTTCGCGCCGCATTTCTCGATTCACTAATTAAATTGTATCTTAATCTTTACTACGACTTTTCGAGATCAATATCCAGACTGGGAAATGGGTATCTGAAGCGAAAACCAACAGCTGAGACGCACCGCGCATTTCCATCGACATCGCCACTAGTTGACACAATGGGGCAGGGACGCTTGTAAGGCCTCTCGGGACGCTACAGTGGACCACCGCCGATCACAGAGGTCCTAAGACCTGAGATACAGGCTGTTGAAATGCTCCACCACACCCAACCTCAGCCTTGCAAATAACTTAATTAGTCTAAGAGCACTCTTGAACTTCATATGATATCTCCTAGGCTTACGTGGGATTTTGTCAAGGAATCAAGGATCAACAGAAAGATTTGGGTTGGTGACAGTCTTCACAAAGTTGATAGGATTCACGGAAGTGATAAATCTGTGAATTGGACAAACGAACTTCTCTTTGAGCCACGAACGGCGGAATCCCGTGAATGGAAAAATTTAACTTGTGCGTTAATAAACGGACTTGAACGGACTTAAAGCAAGGGCTCATTTAAAGATGACCCTTTCGCGCAGCGACGGGTTTAGTGCTATATTTCACTCCTGAATGTGTGAACAGGTCTCACGATCTACTGAGTATTGGGGCAAATGGCACCCCATCAAGTGGTTATCTCCCTGCCTCTTGTCCTATCAAACCCTGGTTAAGGCCTCAATCCGTTTCGCCAGATTGGGCTAGGGCACCTCCGGACCTTAAACAAGAATCTTGGTTTTTATTATGATCCAGTGGTAAGATAAGCCATATACTTTGCCACATGTTTCCACGATCAATCATAGTCGGCTGCTTTGGGTTCCTAGGCTGGGCTCTCCCGGTTTGCAGGATGGTGCCCTTTTGGCTATTTAGCAACCGACCTTTAGACCAGTTGCACTCTTTGGCCTGCCAGGCATATGATGCACGTCTTTTTCATTTGGTGTGATCTCAAATACTGGCAGGCTCATCGAAGTTTGATTCTAATATGTAGGTGTACTAGTTAGGTACGTACCTTTAAAAGTACCTATCAAGGTGTTGAACTTCTAGAGTAAGCCATCTTGTCAGGTCATAAATTTCTCACATGTACAATGTGATATTGTATATACAAATCCGTAGTATTCCTATGAAGTGTCATGTTGACTTTTTCCGACTAATGTGGAGTTCACCCCGGGGCCCTAAAGCCCCGGCAGCCTTGTTCAAGACTAATTTATATCCATCGATATGTCGCCATCCATCGTGAAAATTTGCAGTAACCAGCCTTGAAAATGGCCTCTCAATCGGAGCTCTCACAGTTGACTTCCTCCAAGCTCTTCATCACCGAAGGAGGATTGAAACAACTCTCATCTACAAAAAAAAGACATTGATCTCCCTAGCTTCTTTACTCTCCCACTTCTCAATATGGAAGAGGGTAGAAAAACTATATCGTCCATTACCAAGAGTATGTAAATATTGCCCTCGCCCACTCAACCGGCGTCGTCCTCGAAACTCGAACGTGGCGCGGCTCTCCTTTATGGTCTTCCGAAATCGGCCTCCCTATTCCACAGATCCTCGATCTGAACCGCACAGCAGTCAAGATCCTTCATGACATTCGGGACAAGACCCATCCACTTCTATCGTCATTAGTGGGGCCCTTGGACCTCTTCAATGCCTACAGGATTCCACGGGCTCGGTTTCCTTCGGTCAGACACGGGAGTATTATGGCCCCCAGATTCACGCTTTCCCCGAAGATGTTGTAGATATCATGACTCTAGCGAATCTAGATGGGACGACTGCAGCGGTGAGTCTAGCGCGTGACTATAATATCCCTATTCACTTCTCGTTTAGCGTTGAAACAGACGGACGGCTACGAGGAGGAAGAACCCTTGAGGATGCGGTTCGAGAAGTCGCTCATCTAACGGAGAATTATATAACGTACTTTGTGGTGAATTGTGCTCATCCACGTTATATTATAAAAGCAATACGAAGTATTCTCCCGGATGTGAGGTCGAGGATCGGGTCCATTAGAGGGAATTCATGTCTTAAGAATCACGATGAGCTTGATAACTCTCTGGTGCTAGATCGGGGCGATATTTCGGTGTGGGTTCGAGAGTTCAATGAACTTTTAATTATGTTGCTGGGACTCAAAGTGGTAGGGGGTGGCTGTGGCACGGATGAAAGACCATATTGATGCTATTGCGAGCAGGAATCATTCTGTTAGTTAAGCGACCACCTACACACTTCTTCGCTTTGATTTTGGGTTTATTTCTGTGTTTCATATTCTCAAATCTCGGGATTTAACGCGCATGATTCCTGCTTGTAGCTTCCTCAAGTCAAGAATACGTCGCCAGTAGATGACCTCTCAGTAGCAATACCTTTCAAGTTCAGTGCTGTATTTTCGAAGATAGAAACCCTCACTTACGAACCCTTTTGGCCATGGAAATGAGAGTGACATGTCGCATGGGCTTTACTAGACCGCATCTCCATTGGCAAATATCTCTTTGCCGTATGATTGAACTCTGATTACTGATCCCTACTCTTATGGTTCCGGTCGAGCACATATACCCCAGAAAGGAAAGAATCGTGTGAATGAGAGAGACACAAAGGGAGATGACCATGAAAGAACCCAATCCCAACGAGTTGCCACCCGATCTGATAAACCTGATGTGACGGCACAAAACCGCGGCGGGGCGTTCACCATCTCTCTGAGCGATATTCTCGAGGAGCTCGCAGACAACACTTTATGCAAATAGATGATGTTAGGCTATGCTGTTGGGCTTGTACTCTCTATACCTATCACGTCTTCAAAGTGAGAGACTATCCTAGCATCAGGGAATACCGGCTATACCTAAAATATCTCTTATGATGAGCAATTATCATGTGATTCCCAGTTACGATTGCAGAGATGCGGTCTACCAGGACGAAGCAATCCAGATCCCAGTGTTGAGAAGTACGTAATTAAACTTACCTCCGTCTTAAAGATTGAGCTGACCAGTGAAGCCCTCCAAACCAGGTTCCGGATTTGCAGATCATCTCCGATCTTCTGTTCAGACATATCTCTCCACTATGTGGAAATAGAACCGGAAGCGATTTTACGGCTTCTGCGCACACACCAATCCCGAGATTCGCGTTCACGTTGAAGTGAAAGAATTGACTTTCGATCCAGACAATCTATTAATTCGCATGTCGTCAAGACATTTCTCTGTTCCAAGGTTCTTTTCACAGAATCGGGCTTTGTGATAGTAATCACGCACCCAAGTTCTTGTTCTATCACACTATTTTTCTCTCAAAATATGTGATATAAGATCTAACATCAATAAATCAACTTTCATAGTAGAGTAGAGTTGGGGAATTTTTTAACACCTAAGCAAGGGTTTATATATGGTCAGAGTCATGGTAAAATGAGAGAATACTAAAAGTGTAGTGACAGGAAGCTCAGTTGGAAATAATCGAATCAGAAAGGGAGAGAGGCTAGATAGTTGACGAAAATAAACGTCTTTCGTGGTTGTGATAGGGGTCGATTATTTCCTTCTAGATGGCCCCAAGGTAGTAGACACACTATAACCCAAAGATTTGTTTCCGATGATGACATCGATATAGAGGCGTGATATCGGCAAGTATGGACAAGGGAATCCATTTCCCCGGGGGACAGCTAATGTAACGCGTTACAAAAGAGAGTTAGATGGTGATATTGCTTGTCATTTCAAGTGGAGGCTTGTGGCCATACTCTCACACAAAATTCCCACCGCACCTGCAGCCCCATACCCACCCTCCCTCCAGCAGGTTTCGATGATATCGAAGGATATGTATGTGATATGAAGTCTGGAGACCTCCGAAGGATGTTTGATTGCGACTGGAAACAGGGGTCTTTATAACGTTTTGAGGAGATGGTAACAAAGAAAGGAAGCTGGATGAAAGCGAGATGGATGAAAGGAGATCAATGAGAGTGAGACGTATGCCTTCGACAAGATGGAGTCGGAGCCCTTTTTCCCTTTATCACCGCCTCGAAGAAATTCCTATATGTCCTCCTTTTTTCCCTTCTTTAGGAAGGATCAAAGGTCCAAAACTGATTCTCTTCTGAACCATAATTGAAGATCAGTTAATAAATCATGCTCCAGTAAGCATGAAAGATGGTGTGAAATTTCCAGAAATCATTGTAATGTGTGAAATCACGAAATACTCAGCATTATTCAAGTTGGACCCTGCTCATTTGACTGTCTACAGATTCAGTTAGTCAAAGAGTTGTACGTAGTTCGTTTAGCATGAGTGCCTAGCTATAGCCTGTAGCCAGTATCTATACACAATGGATGTACGCCCTTGGTGAACTTCATAGAGAATGTTAGGGACGACATAAGAGACATCGATCTAGGCAACTGATTCAGAAAGCTGCAAAATATGAAAGAAAAGTAATTGCTTGGAGAAATGGACCCGTGAAGAGCTTAAACAAATTGGTAAGCGTTGATATCGTCGCCATGACATCGCTATAAATGAGGACCCTGGCGGCAAACTGAAATTTATAAACATGGCAACAATATGCATATACAAAACGTTAGTCTTCTAATTCGATTCTAAATCTAACTGCTTCTAACATCGCCTCAGACGCCCATCACTTGAAGTGATTGGCTCACACATATTCATCACTTATTCATAATTGATCAGTTCAGGCCACCAAGTTTGGGACTAGGACACGAGCGGGAGGGAGGGAGGGAAAGTTTAGCCGAGGGGCCACGTCAGCCTTCAGGGGTATTCAGGGCAATACAGCCACGATAGGGCTTCTGTTAATTGGTCTTCTGCGTAGGCAGGCACAGATCAGATATGAAGTAATAAATAGAGATGATCTATCTAAGGTGTCATAAAAAACATAGATACCTTCGTGAAAGCAGCGCGCATAACAAAGCGAAGTATACATGAAGGGACTGAAAGAGATGCTGAACGTCAATCAAAAACATTCATGCAGAGCATTTTCCAGCAACCTTCTCCAAAGTCTTCAGGCCATCGGAAACCTTCGTCCCAAGTTTAGTAACGTCTGCCTCTTTCATCTCGCGGCGGATCTTGGCTGCATTGGAAATCTTCGACACTTGCGACAAAGCCCCGGCATCAAAGACAATGTTCATGATATCCAATGCGGCATTGTTGGGATTCTTGACAATATCCGCCACGCTCAAGCCGACATCGGCAGCTGTACCAGCGATGGAAAGAACGACAGCGACATCAGCCAGCGCTTCGACTGTACCTAGCACTTCACCGGCAACGGGCATCATGAACAAGATTGCAGCCAGGAATCCACCAATGATCTCTTCTTCCTTCATTTTCTTCTCTTCCGCGCTGATATTCTCGGCGAACTTCTCCACAGTGGCCATCTCCTGAATAGCAGAGACGACCATCAAGATAGGCACAGAGATTGAGTCAACGAGATCCGGTCCGGATCCCGTATAGCTGTCGGTGACCGGCTCCAACAACGCATCCTTGATTTGTGGTTGCAGAGTCCCCCTGTCGAGGCCTTTCTTGGCGGTATCTTTGGGATTGGAGACATCTGATGCACCGTAGCCAGTTACCTTTGGGATATTGAAATCGTAATCCGTCTTCCAACAGTCATCATCACTGGAAACGTCCCCGTTGCAGTTTTGCTGGCGAGTGTAGGTTCCAAATTCGATGTAGCTCTTGTTGACGCCAGTTGTAGTGCAGAGATCGGCGTAGAATTTGTCGGCGTTGTCGTCAGGGAGAGTCCAGTGCACAGTCTCTGGGTAATCCTGATCTTTCAAAAAGCGTTCCGAGTAGTCTGGCGGACAGGGCTCCCACGTTCAGCTCTTCCAAGGTTCTCATGGCAATGCTTATCTCGTATCTCACCCCGAGAGGCCTAGAACGTGGTTCGAGTCTGATAATCATGGTTTTGCATCTTATCCTGTAAGTTGTTTTACACATAGGTAATGGCTAATTTGAAGGTATTCGTGATGGCTGTCCGTGTTTTTGTGTACCCTTCTGTGATGTTGACTCAAGACATCGACCTGAATTTCCGCGGACTAGTCTATTTTATAGTTCAATGGCTGAAGCCTCGCAAATTTAAGAGAACGAAGGGCTGGAAGTGAAAGCTTAGCAGTAAAGCCCCTCGTATTAGAAACAAGTCGTCCATCATATGGCATCATTCGCGATCGTATGTACTGATTTAATATTAATTTAATATGGCGCTAACCCTATCCAGACGCGGCATCCGTTTCAAGTGTTAACAATACACGAATAGTTGAACGCCAAGAGATCCAGATAAACTCCATACTCCGTCCTCCCTTAGCGGTTTTGGGCTTTTAATCTCCAATATCAAGCCATATATTTCACAGACCTCTCGGTGCTGAGCTTAGGAACAGCTGAACCTGTATCTTTCACAATACGGGGGCGTATACAGTCATGTTTCATGAGTATTTGCACCCCAGTACTCCGGAAGGCCTGAGACCCACTTCTTTTCTGCAGGTCAAAACTTCATATTTACGCTGCGCAGGGTTTATACTAGCCGGAATAGGAAGACGGTACAGAAAGAGCGGTCAATGCTGGAAGTACTCAGGTGCAAATACTCATGAAACGCCACTGTACTAGTCTGTTTCGAAATACTGTATACCTGAGGTAAGCACTACACATGTACAGTCAGCGTTCATTAGTATTTGGAACGTGGTACCTGCCCCGCTTAGCTTTCTGCCAGTGGGCGGAAGTACTGTGTTCCAAATACTAATGAACGGCCACTATACATGAACTATGATAAGCTATAACACGAAGATGATATGACCCCAACCTTTCCTACCTATTACAGAGAGAGTAATTCATTTTATTATTTATTTCTTTCTTCAACATCAACTTAGTCTCAGATATCATTCAGGTTTGGTGGAATGGTGAAATGATTGGTCAGGCGGTTATCTAATTGGGGGCTAAACGCCCAGGTGTTATCCCAACCATGCAGCCCAGTTATCCTCTTCTCTGCATACGAACTGCAGTATAATTACAATAAAATGCCACCTCCCCTCAGAGGAGGAGTCGCCCAGGTGTTATCCCAACCATGCAGCCCAGTTATCCTCTTCCCTGCATACGAACTCCAATATAATTACAATAAAAAGCCACCTCCCCTCAGAGGAGGAATCGAACAATTATCGACTCCCTTCCTGAAACATGCCTTTATCCGAGCCCCGCCAAATCAAGAAACCCCGGCTA